GGAGAGACTCTAGAGAAGTCCTGGAGGCAAGCATGGGAGGAGTTGACAAGGGAGCTGGAAAGCAGGAGGTCTTGGAAAGAGTGGAGGGGGCGGTTGGGGTGATACTTTGAGACAAGGTTTAAGATATATCCGGTGGCAGAGTTGTGGATGACTTTGCAAGTGATTGTTAATATTTTGAATTTTATCCTTTGGGCAATTGGAAGCCAGTGGAGGGATTGGGAGAGGGGGGGATGCAGACACTGAGCAGTTGGTTAGGTGAATGAGTCTAGCAGCTGCATTCATGATAGACTGAAGGGGGGATAGTCTGTGTAGTGGAAGGCCAATGTCATCTCTGAATTGGTGCCGACACTGTCCTTCCTTCTGGGGGGGGGGGCTACCTTTGTTCCCCAGGGTCCCCGTGTGTGTTGTAAAGTAGCCACTGCTCCAAGCTCACTCCCATGATGGAATACAATCTCACGTTTAGTTTACTAATTTGAATTGAGATTGTAGTCCATCACAGGAGAGAGCTTGGATTTCTACATCAGATCTATCACTTCTCCACATACAATAAAGTTGATTCACTGTGAAAACCTTCAATTGTTTTTCTAAGAGTCTCAAACTGCTTCCTGAATGTACTGTCAGAATTTGAAGCCTTTTTCACTTATTTTCATGTATTTTGAGTCTAAATAGCAACTAGAAAAATAGAGATGGTACTTAATTTTTTTGCTTTTTTGGGGCTATATTTTCCTGTTGAACAATTACAATCAAATTACAACACAATACACTGAAAAACAAGTGAAAAAGTTATTATATGCGTGTACGTGGGGGTGGAGGGCTTTCTCAGCTCACTTTCCAGTTCAGCTATGCTGTCCTAGATCCTTGGTTCTCAACTGGTGGGTCATGACCCAAAAGTGGGTCGCTGCAGGCCTCCCACTTTTCTAGGCAAGAGGCTCCTCTTCCTCCCCCTAGCACAGCACTGTCAGTTCTCGCACCAAGCAACCATTCACAATATGCTGCGCAGCACTGAGCATCAGCTTGAGGTAGAATGGGGCTATGGCTATGAGGGAGCTCCATCCATGCGTACATTGCTTACAGCTCCCTCACGTGTCCTATAGAGGTGCCATCACATTCTGACTCCCGGCACCTCCACTGGGCGCGCAAGGGAGCTGTACAAGTAATGGACATATGGATGGACCTCCCTTACAGCACAGCATCCCACACTGGACCCCAGGCTGAGGATCCACTCCCGTTCTCGTAAGGTAGGGACACTGGGTGAACCTTAAAATAAATAAAATTAGTGCTTATATGTCTGTGATAATGTGGGATTGTGCGTGTCTGTGTTTTTGAGGGCTCATTCACACTAGTACAGGAATCAACACACTGTACCATGCAAATCGCACCTACCGTGCATTCTGGTGTGGGAGGTGTGTTGCGTTGCCATTCATTTGAATGGTACCCCAGACGTACCTCCCACCCACAGTTTATACACTCGCACCGGAGGTACCCTAATGCCGTGCGTTCCATTGCAGTGCGACTTAATGACCAAGGACAAATGTGGGTCCTGAGGTTACAGTTTGAGAACCACTGATCTATATTGTTCACTTCTCCTGCCTTCTCCAAACTCTTCACCCTTTTGTGAATAACCCTGTAAGTCTTAACACACCAGAGATGTACAAGACACCCAATCCTCCAAGGACACTAGCAAAAAAGCTGCTAATACTAGGAAGGGTTATCCTGAGCGGTCTTACAGTTTTGTGTATGCAACTGTCCAATCCTTCTTCAGTACAACGCAAAGGTTAAAGACTTCCTGCTTCCCTCCATGGACGAGAAAGAAACGCGAGTACATTTTCCATGATTACCCAGAATGTCAAACATCAGACAGACAGACAAAGAGGACGAGGATCCATGATTATTTTTATATTTTCTTTTAATAATTTTGTACTCATGGTTACCAGCCATAGTCATAACAAAAGTTATTCATAATAAAATGTATCTAAAATAACAATTTTGTTTTCTATCAGAAAAGGAGCCGTGTTTCTATGTTAGAAATAAATAGTTAGCGCTATTCTGAAAATACTTTGGAGAAGGTGGCCACAAGGCGCTCTTGGCAGGCTTTGCCCAGCTCCTGACTTCCACGCGCTGCGTGTGGGCACAGGGGCAGTTCCAAGTCCACCGCTGACAGAGGAGGCAGGTGACGGCCGGAACGCACAGCCGATAACGAGGATTATATACATGAGCTGTGAAAGCACAGTAGATAAAAAAAAGGAGGTCATCTAAGTTTATAAAAGGGCTGACCCACCACAGACTATTCATTTCATGTTAGTGTAGATACAATGACAGAACTTCTCATTACTGAGTCAATGTTCTACCATACTTGAAGGGGATTTCTAAGAAAAATGAAAACCCCCTATTAGCTGGCACCCTTCCCTCTGGGACCTGACCCCCCATAACTACTGTCCTTTCTTGCAGCGGTCAAATGAACTTGAGCCCAACAGTTTAAATTAAAAAACACAAAAGAACAAAAATGTTCTTAACAGAATACGAGAATGCATCAGTCAAAGCTACTAATCTAGATAACTGGATCCACACAGCTGTCAAAAAGAGGACCTGCCGAGCATTCCTAACATTCACTGAACCAGAAAGACAGGTCCTAAAGGCAGCTGAACTGCAGAATCCACAGGAGTACGTCTCAAAGCTTGCCTCACCGAGTGTACAGGGAACAATCCTAGCAGCAACTAAATGGCCAATTCATTCCTCTACCCTTCCCTGTCTGGGAAAGAAACATCCAACCCATCACAGGTCAGGTCACAGAACGCAAGTGTTGGTTGTACTGTGCTTGTGTACCCCTCCAAATAGCAATAGTGAGACTGCCATCTTGTTCCTTTAAAGTGCAAGCCCAGGGCCTGTCATCATAATCTATACTTCAGAACCTGAGTATGCAGTTTGGAAGCACTATACTTCATCGGCTGCATACCCGTTATTAGTCTGTACCATACAAAGCAGGGCCATACACATTACAATCTGGGTGTACAATCTCTTAAATTAACCAAAACTATGTCATGACGACAATCAATTCAAACTGTTTCCAGTTGTGCAGGTCATTACACTACATAGTTGTTGGCGGATATATAAGAGAGTGTGCAATGAGATTATAAAGACCTGTGTCGAAAGGCTTTGGGCTCGAGTGATGGCATCAGCTTAAAAAGCTTCTGACTTCATTCACAATTCAGGTACATTTGACTTCCTTCTAGAAAACTTTACATCCCCATAGACTTAAAGGAGAACTATGAGGTGAGTGAAACTGTCACAGGTCCGCTCAATAGATCGGGAAGTGAGCGAACACATAGCGTCGCTCGCTCACTTCCCGTTTGTCTCCCTGCAGAGAACCGTGACTGTCAGTCATTGCTCCCTGCAGGGATTCCCCTCTCCGATCCTCCAGCGTTGACTGGAGGAACGGACGGGGGCGGGCACAGCTGGCTCTGTCTCTAGATAGGCAGAGCTAGCTGTCACTCACGCAGCTGGGTGGATCTCGACAGCATTGTCGGGATCCGTCCTGAGTGCAGAAGTCTCAGTAAACCGCGAGCTGTAGCTCGCAATATACGGAGCTTTGGGTCACGGGAGGAGGCTAGTATATGTCCTCCCGTAACTTTTAAGAGAACTATGGGGAAAAACACTTACCCCATAGTTCTCTTTTAATGGAATGCCAAACTTGTTTGGCATGAACAAAAGCCAAATCGACACAGTGTATGGTCACCCTAAAGAGTGAAGCAAGGATGAAGATGACAGTCACAGAATAGTTTCAAAGAAAAAAGGTTGAAAATTGGGGTTTTCATATATTCATGGCTGGAAGCAGAGAGAAGAATCTGGCAAGTTAAATACCATTTACAGAAGCCTTTAATGGAAACTGGCAGTCTGACCCCCAGCATCCTTCATCGCAGCCTCTCTCAAGACTTGTGGTCAATGGACTTGCCTCTCAAGAGGCCTTTTCACATGTCACTTTGTATTCAGCTGACTATGCAGTAACAGTTTCGTGAACACCATGGGTAGTGCAGACATCAGTTTTGTCTCACTGCCAAACATAAATCAATGGTCCTACTGACTGTTGATTTGCACTGAACCCAAGGGCCTGTCCACACCACAGCCATCTGTGAAGTCCAGTCAGCTCTGTTCAGTCATGTCAATACAAAGTAAAATGTGTATCACAACGATAACACCCCATAAAACATGACTGGAATAGATGAAGAATGCCGGTCATCTACAGAAACTCAACTGTACAAGTGTGCTGAGAATCAGAGGCTACTGGTCCAGTGGGCACTGCCTTGTATAATAAGGTACAACCCCCTAACAAAGCAGAGAAGCACCAATACTCAAGGAAAACAAAACAGACCAGGATTTTGGGACAGACATCATTCTGCATAGGCAACCATCCCATGTTCTCCATGTCTGCCAAATGCTCGTCAGCCACCAGGGTTGAAGGGCATTTAGCCAACATACAAGACTCCATACTGATACTTGCGCCATTCTGGGTCTGGAAGGGAACTGATTCTGTGGCCCCAATTTATCTTACTGGCTTTCCTAAGTAACCCCCTTTGCTACAGAGAGGTGAGGGAACCCTAAAAACACCAGGTGCACTTTGAATGTTTATACAAGCCCTAAGAATCCTTGCATTTGATGTCTAGCATCATGTAAGCAGAAGCCAGACAGAAGTGGATGTGGACTGTTAGAAGCAGAAGACAAAAGATCCCCCTTAACTTCCTTTCTGTAAGAAGAGGTGGATCCCAAAAGAATCTCCAACTCAGGCATACGTGGCACAAAGAAGACAGCTAGATGCTACCTTCTAGCCAGGAACCAACAACCTGAGGGGAGGGAGAAGGAAGTCTATCAGCTTTCTTAGTTTTGTGTCTACACAGCCAACATAGTCTAGGTGTCCCATGTACAAAGATAAAAAGAAAATCCTGGGGTACATTCCCCACCTAAGGAAAAAAGACCATACTTCTGCCTTCTGGGTACCTTTATAAATAAATGTATTCTCCCCAAGCATGCATTCTAGCGCCCTATAGACTTAACTTTATCAATCTCTATGTTGTGCCGTCCCTCCCTCCTCTGTTCATCGGCAGGCCAGTGAACGCACAAGGGCAGTGTCCTGCCTGAAAGATGCCGGTCCTTGTAGTGGGAACAGTTGCTGCTCCTTAGCTTAGTGTGTTTGCCCGACAGAGGTTCCTTCTCTGGAGCGCCTGGCTCCACAATGAAAACAGGACACCTTGCCTGTCCAGCTTTTGCACGTCCTGGCGGAGCATAATCCTTCCTGCTCACCTCCACCAGGGCGCTGTGCCACTGTGACCCGTTCCAAGTGCATGGTGGGCAAAGCTGTGTGCACCAGCAGAGGCTCTTCACTAAGCTCCCCCATTGTTACATGTCTTGGTATTTGGGTAAAGACTGGAAAATAAAGGAAACAAAAAAAAAGCTCCTTCCTCAACGTTAACTCTGAGCAGTGCTGTGTGTATTTGGATATTAAACCATTGTTAAAAAAAAAAAAAAAAAGTTATGAAAGCTGAAAAGAGTATTAGAACGCAGTGGGTGGATGATGTAGTGACGGCCTCACGGGGGAACTGGCGGGGGGAAAGGCGTTGTCGCTTCCCTGGCTGAGGTCATGGGAAGGGATAGAAAATGACGCCCTTCGGGGAGAAGAGTTCAACAAGCACACGGTCAGATGGTCGATGTTTTGTCTGTTCCCTCTGCCAAAGGAAAAAAAAAATGATTTAAAACATATGGAGTCAACACATGAGTGGAAAACAATCAAACTAGGAGTTTTGTCCAACTCAGGCTAAGGCTAGGTTCACACCAGATGACCACAGTGCGGTCCAGTGCGATCAAAATGCTTATGTGCCTTGCGATCCCATGCGGCCGATCGCATTGCGGCTGGGGGGCGTGGCTACGATGCCATTCACTTCAATGGCCCGCCACGCCACCTCCTGCCCCACAAAAAAGTGAGCCAGGCGCAGTGCGATGCAGTGCGTTCTGGCTGGAATCGGACCTGAACGCACTGCATCTGGTGTGAACCTAGCCTAAGACCAATGAAGAAACCATTCAGAACAGAGATGTGTAAAGTAATGCATACTACTCTGACCCACTCACCCCGGCTAAGCATACAGAAGGCCATTGCCAGTTCTGTATACCGCGCCGATTCCCTGCCTCCAGCCTGCTCTGTGGACTAAAGTCAAAGTGATATTAAAGTTAAAATGTTTTTAAGCTATTGCAAATGCTCATCACTTACAATGGATGCAGCTCCTTGATGTTTAAAAGTTTTAGCTTCCTGAAAAAGCAGCTGAGCACTGGCCCCCGATATCCTGCTTTAGGGTGACTCCTTTCCCTTGCAGGGTCCTACGAAGCCAACCTTGTGTGTGCTAGTAAGCTGTGTGCGTCTCCACAAGAGAAAACACACCACAAGGTAAGCCTCCCCACTAATCCCTTCTCCCCACTCCTTCCTCCTCTCTTTTCCCTTCATCAAGCTAGTAAATGGACAGTTGCTGCAGACTGCTCTGTTCATTGAGATCTTGTATGCAACTGGAAGCTCAGTGAAACTAAACTGGGAGTCTTGGAGATTCAAAACAGTGATTTGTAAATGCTTCGGGAAAATGTGAAGAAATACTTTGATGGCCAATGTATATGTGTTGGATCGGAATTCATTATTGATAAAAAGTTTGAAAGTTTAATACGACTTTAACAAATATAGCCATGCCCCACCTGTCAGCCCACTAGCCCCTGCCAAGCAAGTACTCCCACTGAAAGTCTTATGTCAGTTAGGATGCCTCATGCCAAACATACAAGCTGTGCTGTAGGCTTCCATGAAATCTACCACAGCAATTTCTGATGTGCACTATAGATAGAACAGCCTCTCTCAGCCAGGGTGCCGAGAAATGCTGATTTAAAGAAACGCTGATGGGCCCCCGGAATACCATGATCTGTCACCCTTATAATATGCATAGGCATATGCAAGTAACTTTATCCTTTATCTGTGTATACGGATTATGGTACAACCTCAATGAAGCAGGCACTGCAACATTATACGCAAGGCCTTCTTACTACTAGTTTGCAGTGTGACCCCTAACTCTGACTTCCACCGATAATGTGTTTGTGTCTCACCCTCCAATGCATGTTCCGTCATACTCAGGCACAAGGACTCCAGCCGGGGATTAATCTCCAAGTCAGCCCCAGGAACCTGGCAGTCTGTAGTGGGAAAACAAACATTTCTACATGGTCAGTGAAACCACATTAATAAGCTTGGTTTATCTAAAGCCACCGCAGAGTGCATTATGGCACCAAGTCTATACACAGAAACAATACTTTAAAGGGTTATTAAACCCTCACTTTTTTTGCATATATCTAAAGCTAGCAAGAAGTAGGTATATGCAACTTAATAAAACAAAATAAAACCTTTTGAAAACAGGTTTAAACTTACCTGTGACTTCGCCACGTGCTCCCGTCCGAACATCTGAAAAGTCTCAGGCGGCCGCAAAGGATCTGGGGGCGGGCGCATGCGCACTTCAGATGTTCGGCCGGGAGACGAGGAGAGACACAAGGCAAGTCTATGGAGCAGCGTGCACCAGCACAGACTACGTGGGACGTCAGAGGAGGACAGAGGAGTCAGCGCTGGATCGGAGACCCGCACCAGCGCCGGAGGGAGAGCTGAAAACTACACTAAAAGAAGATGATCGGATTAAGAGACATCATTTAAGGTAAGTCCTTACACTAACATTGGGGGAGGGAAAAAAAATAGCCTTTAAGGTCACTTTAATGCCTACAAATCTGAGTGGATATCACTTAAAGCTCACTCCAGGATAAGCAAGAATTGTCTAAATATAAGAAAGGCACTTTCACTGTAATAATTACCTCATATACTCCACAGGCTCACAGCTCTGAGGTCTAACGTCATTTAACCCATGTCATGCTACCAGTCAGGAGACGGGTAGATTTAAACAGTGTTCCTCGGATTAATAAAGAGAAATTGGAGTGATGAACATTCCTCGACAGAAAAAGCAAAACTGCTTAAAGTACTCTCCAGTGTTTGTCACATGTGACGGCTCAGGTACAAGATCAGAAGTTCTAATTAGCACATTTTCCTCACCAGCAGATAACACATGACCAATACCTAGGTCTTCATATATAGAGCTAGCATTGAAGGGGACAGGTAGACATAAGTCTCTTTTTGCCATCATGTTGGAGGGACCCTGATGCAAAAATGTAATTCCCCAAACAGTTGTCCCTGCAAAAGGATAAAAGGTAAAAACTCCTCTTTTGCAGGGTCCATGCTGCTCTTATTACGTGGAATTGCCAGCTTTGGTTGGTGCAGAAACCTTCTGAATCCCCTGCAGTGCTTTGTGGTTCCTCCCACCAACTTCCATGTCACTACTGGGTCAGAGAGTAGAACCATTGTGTACCGTGGAGGACACAGGAGATCAACACTCCTGAAGTGTTGGCGTCTAAACAGACTTCATCTGAACTTTTCTCATCAGTAGGCAGTGGGAGAGGCGAGCATCTTCTTTCCATGAATGTCTTTTCAGGCAATTTTAATTTATATGACAGAGTCTAACATTCGTGTGGAGGTTAACCTTAAGTAGAAAGCATTAAAAAAGATAGAGCCCAAAAATATTGATGCTAACAGGCAGGTACCTGCAGAGACCCCACTTGGTTCATTTAAAAAACCCAAACTTACCAGGAGGAAACTTGAGAATGCTCTGCGGAGAAGTGTGTACGGGCAGTGAATGGGTGCGCTGCACTGAGCTGTGACTTTGACATGGCATACTGTTACTACCCCCTGGATTGGCAAACCAGAGATTCTGTAGGAAAATTAATGCAGAGATTACAAATCCGTTGCCCCCATAAAATTAGCAGGAGATTGTACAGAAAAATCACTGACCTGCCGTCCCTGGCTCCCAGTGCTTGGGCTGGTAAGTGCATGTCGGGGAGAGACACCCCCAATTGATCCGGGACTCATTACGCCAATCCTAGAAGGCGGCACAGCCCTAGGGGGCATCTGAAATGGGCGCTGAGCCCTTCGTGTTACGGAGGCACCCACAGATCCAGCTATGGGGAGAGAGTTTGATGCAAACGCCCAACTGCAGAGAAAAACAGCCAACATTAGTAGACTACAAACACATGCTGGGTAAGTGCAGCAGCCAACACCAAGTGGCTCACCCTGCCTCAGTGTGTAGAGTGTATGTATTATCTTGATTTGCACATGCAACTGGCCTCAGAGAAAGAGCAAAACATATTTTCACAGCCTGGCATATATGCTACACGCTGAGCTTGTGTTTTCAGACAAGGCAACATCCCGCAAATACCTACAGGGACTCCACTAGTGAGAGCTCGGTACATAAATGCTGTAACATATGCTTTCCAGAGGAAACTTCATAGAAATATATTTAGAAACCACACGAGGCACTTCCTGCCGATGGTCATAATATTTATATGCAGTCAGCAACCTCTGACTTTCACTGCATGCTGCCACCTTGCGGCCAAAATACAGGCTACATCAAAGGGTAACTGGTCAGACTTCTGAAATTCAAATATTTGCATATCCTTATCAAGCAGTAAATAAGATTTACTTCACAACCCTTACTGGGCTTTGCGGCTGCTGGTACGATGAAACAATTCATCCTAAAAACTTTCACCTCAGAAGCAGACCCAGCAGCTCAGCTTCTTTTCTCACCACAGTAACTTGGCACCCGCCCCCCAAAAGGTGACTCAGCAGCTCAGCACTCCCATTCTAGCAATGCTTTTGGAGCTTTGGAAGAGTGGTTTAGGAGAGCTGAGCTGCTGAGAGAACACCTTTAAAATGTAATCTGCTCAGTGGGACAAAGATACCAATAAAAACCTGAAAGTCGCATTACCCTTTTCCATTCTGTCCAAAAGAAAAAAAAAAGAAGGAGTGGTATCGAGGGTTTAAAGGACAGAGCAAAAGTTCTTATACAAAAGATAAGCTGCAGCAGTTCAGGAAATATTCCACCACCTTGCCACACAATACCAGAATCCTCAGAGGTTTGGCCTGTTGCCATTATGACTCGTTTCAACAACTCAGCTGCATCCACTCGGTCCCCTTTTCACTAAATGTAGCTTGTCGCCTTCCCGCGCCTCACATGCCCCTCCATACACAGCCCACCTGCACCCCTTCTGTTGCCTGTACCCCTGCATTTCCAGTAACGCCTTGCGGGGAAATGTCCGGAGAAGCTTCAAGACCTGCTGCTTCCAGGAGAGTATTCTCTTCTTCTGTGTCTCAGTAAATGCCTGCAGGAAGATGGAGAAAAATTCCTAATTACCATGCTTGTGCAGTTACAAAAAAAAAAAACACAACACACATGGAGAGCGTGAATCCCCTCACGCAGCTGGTGTAAAAAAAATGAATAATGTTCCAACTAGGGATGCGCCGAAATTTCGGCCGCCGAAACATAATCAGCCGAAAAAGGCACTTTTGGCAAAATGCCGAAAGTTTAATCTTCCGTCCGAAATAGCGGTGCATCTCTGCTTTCTCTCCTTCCCACTGGGCACTGCGCTGTGTCCCCTCTGTCCAGCACAGAGGAGAGAAACTGTCACAGGAGGCCGAGCGGTGTGGGAATGGAGAGTGCTGTGAACGACCAGCATCTCTCCTCCCGCACTGCTCAGCCTCCTGTCACAGATAAAGAGAATGGCGCTGTGGGCGGAGACAGGTGTCATTGCTGTTACAGGAGGCTGAGCTCTCCGCCTGCGCAGCCTCCTGTGACAGATCAGAAGAGCGGCGGTGTGGGGGCAGAGACAGCTGTCACAAGAGGCCGGCAGTGTGGGGGGAGGAGTCAGAGGAGGCTGAGATCTCCTCCCCGCTCTGCTTGCTCAGCCTCCCGTGACAACGAAGGAGACAAGTGCAAACACTTAGGGATCGCTGAGTGTTTGTACATAATTGAGGACAGAGTATGGTTACTATATAATCAATTATGAATGAATGGGAAGTGATCTACATGACCTCCTGTTCATTCATGATTGTGGTTATAGTAAACACACAATAGCCACATGTTATGAATGAACAGGAACACTCAGTATAGAGGATTCCTGATCACTGATAACAGGGGATGCAGAAAGAGAGATTGAGGACTGTGTCCTCAATCCCTTTTTCTATTGTAAAAGGGAAATATCAGGGGTCTGCTTAGACCCCCAATATTTCCCCGAAGCCCCTAAAAGTAAAGTAAAAAAATAAAACTAATAAAAATATATTTAAAAAAAAAGGTTAGAAAAAACAAAAACACAGACTTTCGGTTTCGGCCTGACATTTTTTCATTTCACTTTGGTGCACCTCTAGTTCTAACCCTTCCCCACTCTATACAAAACTACACTAAATGTTTTGGGTGGAGTTCCATTCCATGGGTCTAAGATCCTATTTAGATGGCTTTGCATATTTATTTATTTAAAGAAGAACTCCGGGCAAAACTGATCTGAACCCTTGCAGTGGGGCAACCCCGCACAGCAAGAGTTAAGTGCTGGTTTTTGTCTAGAAGCGAAAATAAAATGATACGGAACCTCGGAGCCAGCTGGCTGCTACGCCAGCACCTGAAGCCGGTCTAATCCTCCGCTCCAGCGATGATATGTCCCTCTGCGTCCTCACATCCAATACACTGTATTGGACGTGATAACTCACAGGACCTTAGATTAGCGGAGTGGAGGGGGAGAGAGGCTTTAAGAACCAGTCTAACAGCCAGACGGTTGCAACGTTTGGTTGAGTATAACTTTATTTCTGCTCCTAGATGAAAACAAGCACTTAACCCTTGCAGTGTGGGGGTAGGGTTACATTTTCCCAGAGGAGCTCTTTAATTCTTTAGCAACAAGCAATGCTGGCCACTGTTCAGTTACCTCATGCGTCAGGCACTTCTCCAAGAGTTGCAGATAGCAAGTGATATTTTCCTCATCTGGCCTGGAGACTAGCAGCTGTGTGCACACTGTAGAGAGAAATGTAAGAGATCAGCCATATGCTCAGATAAGACACACAATGCACACAGACGGCAAGGTGAAACCTGAACTCTCACCTTTGCCCAGCACTCTTGTCAGTTGTCCAGGTATGTCCCCATCTGCTATGGGTGGCACAGACGTTTCCAGGTCGCACCTTAGATCACTCTGCTGCTGAAATCCATCAGCTGTCAGTCCGGTGGGCCGCTCGTTCTCATCTGGGCTTTTGCTGGCCGAATCATGAACGGGCCTGTGCTGGGAAGACTGTCCACTGTTCACAGTCTCTGTCTGATTGGGCCTATAGTACTTGATGGGTGTGATGATGATCTGCTGAAGCTCCTGAAGAGCATTTCGTACATTTCCTCCCTCCAGGATGTCCTATTTAAAAGGATAAAGAATGTTAGGTTTGTCAACACGTCGTCACTGGGTACCGTCTTACATATGGAAATGATAGTTAATTTTATATTTCCAAATTAAAAGTTAAAATATTTTAGGTAATATAATCTTAGTTAACACCACCCCCTCCCCCCCCCAACAAAAAAAACAAACAGAACACCCACAAAAAGCATAAGCATACTGCATGGTTGCTGGCACCAATCCTTTCTATGCTATGACAAAGTAGGAGTAATGACCTCTACCAATCATTTAGCTGTATAGAATCTGATCTCTTTTCTTTTGTACAGCAGATCTCATTATAAGAAAAACAAGAACCCTACAATTCTCTCTTGGCAGATAATCCCCAGTAGAGGCTCTAACCAATCCCTACTTTACTAAAAAAAAAAAAAAAAGAAGAAAAGTTTTGGCTGGAGTTAGGCTTTAACAAGAATAGAACAAAGAAAACAACCAAAACAAATGAAGGATAAAAACTGGTTGGTTAACTATAGGTGATAGTCACACTTAAGTACCATTTTATAAATGGGCAGCTTTCACTTTAAAAGGCAAATCCAAGCTAAACTATCAAACTAGGATTCTGGATGTGCACTATATTACCAAAAGTATTGGGACACTGGCCTTTACACGCACATGAACTTTAATGGCATCCCAGTCTTAGTCCGTAGGGTTCAATATTGGGTTGGCTCACCATTTGTCACTACACAAGCGTCAACTCTTCTAGGAAGGCGTCCACAAGGTTTAGGAGTGCGTCTATGGGAATGTTTCCCCATTCTTCCAGAAGCGTATTTGTGAGGTCAGGTACTAATGTTGGACGAGAAGGCCGGGCTTGCAGTCTCCGCTCTAATTCATCCCAAAGGTGTTCTATCGGGTTGAGGTCAGGACTCTGTGCAGGCCAGTCAAGTTCCTCCAAACCAAACTCGCTCATCCATGTCTTTATGGACCTTGCTTTGTGCACTGGTGCGCAGTCATGTTGGAACAGGAAGGGACCATTCCCCAAACGGTTCCCACAAAGTTGGGAGCATGAAATTGTCCAAATATCTTGGTATGCTGATGGCCTGAGAGTTCCCTTCACTGGAACTAGGGGGCCAAGCCCAACCCCTGAAAAACAACCCCACACCATAACCCCCCCTCCACCAAACTTTACACTTGGCACAATGCAGTCAGGCAAGTACCGTTCTCCTGGCAATCGCCAAACCCAGACACGTCCATCGGATTGCCAGACAGAGAAGTGTGATTCGTCACTCCAGAGAACACGTCTCCACTTCCCTAGAGCCCAGTGGCGGCGTGCTTTACACCACTGCATCCGGCACTTTGCATTGCACTTGGTGATGTAAGGCTTGGATGCAGCTGCTCGGCCATGGAAACCCATTCCATGAAGCTCTCTACGCCCTGTTGTTGTGCCAATCTGAAGGCCACACGAAGTTTGGAGGTCTGTAGCTATTGACTCTGCATACAGTTGGCGACTTCTGCGCACTGTGCGCCTCAGCATGCGCTCACCACGCTTTGTCATTTTTTGTGGCTGAGGTGCTGTTGTTCCCAGTTGCTTCCACTTTGTTATAATACCCCTAACAGGTGACCGTGGAATATTTAGTAGCAAGGAAATTTCACGGATGGACTTATTGCACAGGTGGCAACCTATCACGGTACCACGCTTGTAGTCACTGAGCTCCTGAGGGCGACCCGTTCAAATGTTTGTAGAAGCGTCTGCATGCCGAGGTGCTTGATTGTATACACCTGTGGCCATGGAGGTGATTGGAAAACCTGAATCCAATGATCTGGAGGGGTGTCCCAATACTTTTGGCAATATAGTGCATCTGCAATGGCATTAGCAACTATCCAATGTGCCCCAGACGCTTATTCACGGACTTCTATAGGGCCATCACCTAACAGAGGATCTCAAATAATAGAAACAAACCAGTACACCACGGAGCTCAATGCACATTATGGAAGACCAAAGCATGTACCAAACAGAGGTTACTGGTGCATAGTAATCGTAGGGCAGTTACAACAGAACAGAGTATTGGTACAAATACACATGCAAATGTACATACAAGACATAATAACACAAAGTAAACAGCAGTAATGTGTGGTGACTTTCACTCAGACAGCAAGCTAGTCAGGCCATAAATGAGGATCTGTGAGTGGATGCCCCAAGAGACAAAACAATACTTTATTAAATAAATGTCAGCATCTGTGTTCTGAAACTTGCCTGCACAGGATTCTGCTTACCTTCTCCAGTGCGCGGAGCACACTTTGTCTCTCCCTCAGTTTCTGGCTTGCAGTCTCCGCTCTAATTCATCCCAAAGGTGTTCTATCGGGTTGAGGTCAGGACTCTGTGCAGGCCAGTCAAGTTCCTCCAAACCAAACTCGCTCATCCATGTCTTTATGGACCTTGCTTTGTGCACTGGTGCGCAGTCATGTTGGAACAGGAAGGGACCATTCCCCAAACGGTTCCCACAAAGTTGGGAGCATGAAATTGTCCAAATATCTTGGTATGCTGATGGCCTGAGAGTTCCCTTCACTGGAACTAGGGGGCCAAGCCCAACCCCTGAAAAACAACCCCACACCATAACCCCCCCTCCACCAAACTTTACACTTGGCACAATGCAGTCAGGCAAGTACCGTTCTCCTGGCAATCGCCAAACCCAGACACGTCCATCGGATTGCCAGACAGAGAAGTGTGATTCGTCACTCCAGAGAACACGTCTCCACTTCCCTAGAGTCCAGTGGCGGCGTTCTTTACACCACTGCATCCGACACTTTGCATTGCACTTGGTGATGTAAGGCTTGGATGCAGCTGCTCGGCCATGGAAACCCATTCCATGAAGCTCTCTACGCACTGTTGTTGTACCAATCTGAAGGCCACACGAAGTTTGGAGGTCTGTAGCTATTGACTCTGCATACAGTTGGCGACTTCTGCGCACTGTGCGCCTCAGCATGCGCTCACCACGCTTTGTCATTTTTTGTGGCTGAGGTGCTGTTGTTCCCAGTTGCTTCCACTTTGTTATAATACCCCTAACAGGTGACCGTGGAATATTTAGTAGCAAGGAAATTTCACGGATGGACTTATTGCACAGGTGGCAACCTATCACGGTACCACGCTTGTAGTCACTGAGCTCCTGAGGGCGACCCGTTCAAATGTTTGTAGAAGCGTCTGCATGCCGAGGTGCTTGATTGTATACACCTGTGGCCATGGAGGTGATTGGAAAACCTGAATCCAATGATCTGGAGGGGTGTCCCAATACTTTTGGCAATATAGTGCATCTGCAATGGCATTAGCAACTATCCAATGTGCCCCAGACGCTTATTCACGGACTTCTATAGGGCCATCACCTAACAGAGGATCTCAAATAATAGAAACAAACCAGTACACCACGGAGCTCAATGCACATTATGGAAGACCAAAGCATGTACCAAACAGAGGTTACTGGTGCATAGTAATCGTAGGGCAGTTACAACAGAACAGAGTATTGGTACAAATACACATGCAAATGTACATACAAGACATAATAACACAAAGTAAACAGCAGTAATGTGTGGTGACTTTCACTCAGACAGCAAGCTAGTCAGGCCATAAATGAGGATCTGTGAGTGGATGCCCCAAGAGACAAAACAATACTTTATTAAATAAATGTCAGCATCTGTGTTCTGAAACTTGCCTGCACAGGATTCTGCTTACCTTCTCCAGTGCGCGGAGCACACTTTGTCTCTCCCTCAGTTTCTGGATACTTAGAGCTATTTTGTGCCTTGCACCTTTGGTGACGTTCTGCCATGGGCAAAAAAAAAAAAAAGAAAAGAAATTAATGAGGATCCCATTGTCAAGAATTGTTATCCTTCCAAGTGACTGAACCCGACTGTATTTCAACGGTCATACTTTGCATTTCTCTCAGCTGGCTGAAGGCACAGCAGTGAGCTGTCAGTGTGACCCAGCTGAAGCAAGCTCATACTATTTTCCCAGTACACAGAAGCTCTCGCAGAACAGACGGTGACATTTACCAAAAATATAACCCAGAAAGTTGTAGCAGGTTCACTGCAAGAGGTGACTAAACATATATCAAGTCCTACTGCACAGAAATTTCCTTGGAGCACGCGAGTGTGATCATCTGAATGTACAAACAGAAAATGATCCTGCGTTGCTTTCCTAATTTTCACATGAACAAGATGCAGTGCAGGAACACAAAGAAAAAGATGTTTGATTTCTCCCCAGGCCCGTGAATACTTCTCTATATTGTGCTGCCAATAAAGCAGCATTGTTTAGAAGCACAACTTCAAACTATGCAGGCATGTGGACATATTCAGTCTAGTATAGGAAGCCTATATTGAGGTTCTCTTTGCTGGCCTCCTCCTGAAATTGCTAGCCTTCAGGCTAAGCAAGTGACTGCCCCAAAATCGGCATGCACTAAGTGATGTCAGAACTCGCTTGCATACTTGTTCTGGGTCACTGAAACCACTGGATCAGCATGGCAGCTGGCACATAGAATGAGAGGTCAGCCATAGCAGCCTACTCATTTCTCACTGCACAGGTTTACTTTCCAGGGGCTATGTTGCATTTGAACCCTTTAACCCCTTCCTGACCAACGACAGGATTATTCCATCACGATCTTTCAGTTCCTTAAAGTGACATTAAATGCAAAAAATGTTTCCCTTATCCCAATGTTAACCTCCCTGGCGGTATGATTATGCAGGATTTTAGCATGCCAAAGCGGTACATTGTTTTTTCATGGCAATTTGTTGTTTTATATTGTAGGCCTGTAATTCTTAGTAAATCTTAGGAATAACTCACCTAAATCTGTCCAAACAAGAGTCCAGTAGACATCCCGGGTATGATAAAGTTTGAAACACGAAATCATAAACTATAATATAATAAATCATACAAAATTATAATATAATGAAAAAAAATGGTCCAGTAAATTGGAATTCTTGGGGAGCTGCCTGATCCGAACCACAGTCAATAGAGTACCAAGTTCGCACATCACAGAGCTCGGTCGCAGAATCGTCGCTGTCGTCACTTTGTGCCTGATGACGAATTTCCAAACGAATCGCCATCACTCAATTCTGCAAGTGATTGTAATTCACTATCGCTGTTTTCTACCTGGTCTAAAACCGCTTTTGACCTAAAGGGACGCTTTTTGATTGCCATGGACGTTCTCAAGTTTCCAGGCAGAAAGAACAGTAAAAGTGTCAGGCAGGGCACTGGACAAAGCTCTAGGGACAAAATTGAAGTGAAATAGTTTTATAGATAAATGTAATTATAGCAGATTGCATTGTATTCTGTGTAAATGTCATGTTTTCACTTTTGAATTTCCCATACAAGATGCAGTGCAGGAACACAAAGAAAAAGATGTTTGATTTCTCCCCAGGCCCGTGAATACTTCTCTATATTGTGCTGCCAATAAAGCAGCATTGTTTAGAAGCACAACTTCAAACTATGCAGGCATGTGGACATATTCAGTCTAGTATAGGAAGCCTATATTGAGGTTCTCTTTGCTGGCCTCCTCCTGAAATTGCTAGCCTTCAGGCTAAGCAAGTGACTGCCCCAAAATCGGCATGCACTAAGTGATGTCAGAACTCGCTTGCATACTTGTTCTGGGTCACTGAAACCACTGGATCAGCATGGCAGCTGGCACATAGAATGAGAGGTCAGCCATAGCAGCCTACTCATTTCTCACTGCACAGGTTTACTTTCCAGGGGCTATGTTGCATTTGAACCCTTTAACCCCTTCCTGACCAACGACAGGATTATTCCATCACGATCTTTCAGTTCCTTAAAGTGACATTAAATGCAAAAAATGTTTCCCTTATCCCAATGTTAACCTCCCTGGCGGTATGATTATGCAGGATTTTAGCATGCCAAAGCGGTACATTGTTTTTTCATGGCAATTTGTTGTTTTATATTGTAGGCCTGTAATTCTTAGTAAATCTTAGGAATAACTCACCTAAATCTGTCCAAACAAGAGTCCAGTAGACATCCCGGGTATGATAAAGTTTGAAACACGAAATCATAAACTATAATATAATAAATCATACAAAATTATAATATAATGAAAAAAAATGGTCCAGTAAATTGGAATTCTTGGGGAGCTGCCTGATCCGAACCACAGTCAATAGAGTACCAAGTTCGCACATCACAGAGCTCGGTCGCAGAATCGTCGCTGTCGTCACTTTGTGCCTGATGACGAATTTCCAAACGAATCGCCATCACTCAATTCTGCAAGTGATTGTAATTCACTATCGCTGTTTTCTACCTGGTCTAAAACCGCTTTTGACCTAAAGGGACGCTTTTTGATTGCCATGGACGTTCTCAAGTTTCCTTTTGTGCCTGATGACGAATTTCCAAACGAATCGCCATCACTCAATTCTGCAAGTGATTGTAATTCACTATCGCTGTTTTCTACCTGGTCTAAAACCGCTTTTGACCTAAAGGGACGCTTTTTGATTGCCATGGACGTTCTCAAGTTTCCAGGCAGAAAGAACAGTAAAAGTGTCAGGCAGGGCACTGGACAAAGCTCTAGGGACAAAATTGAAGTGAAATAGTTTTATAGATAAATGTAATTATAGCAGATTGCATTGTATTCTGTGTAAATGTCATGTTTTCACTTTTGAATTTCCCACCGGCGCCGCCCCCCGATGTGACGCCCGAAAACTAAACTGAAAGCCGAATGCCGGCATCGGCCGGGCGCACACAGCAGACACCACAGACTCGCAGGGACAAGGTAAGTGACACTTTTGTGCTGTCCCGAGTGTGGCTCGGGGTTACCGCTTTTGGTACTGAAAATTAACCCCGAGCCACACTCGGGAATGCCGCCAGGGAGGTTAAAGCACTTACCTTAAATGATGTCTTTTAATCCGATCATCTTCTTCTTTCCTGTAGTTTTCAGCCTCCTCTCCAGCGCTGGGGTGAATCTCCGATCCAGCGCTGACTCCTCTGAGCTTGCTGGCACTTACTCTCCCACGGTGTCTGCATGCGGGTGCACGCGTCCATAGACTTACCTTGTGTCTTTCCTCGCGTCCTGGCCAGAAATGTGAGCATGCGCCCGCCCCCAAGATGCTTTGCGGCCGCCCGTGCAGTTTCACATTTTGGGACGGAAGCGCGCGGGGAAGACACAGCTAAGTTTAAACAGCTGTTAAAGCAGGGGTTTAAAAAAAAAAAAAAAAACTAAAAAACTTTTTGCATATATCTACTGCTTGCTAGCAGTAGATATATGCAAAAAAAGCTGAGGGTTTAGAAACCCTTTAATGACCACTGACGGAATAACAACTTTCATGCGGTAGAATGAGTTAATGCTGTGTCCTCTAATTTGCTGTTTAGGTGTCCGAGGCAGGCCCTCAACAGCAAATTAGAGGTCCTAGCACTGTGATCACAGCGATAGGTAATCGCAGTGATCACAGTGCTGTGTCAGCAACTGAGACAGCAGATGTGTTGTGGAGTTGCAAGTCGGTTTAGTGTATTACAAAATTGATAAAGTATCTCTGAGGAGAACACAGGAATACAATATCAAAAGCCCATGTAAGTTAAATAAAAAAAAAAGGTCTAGCATCAAGAAGGCTATTAGGAGATAAACAAACCACATTCTAAAATTGCATCTCACTCCTTGTATTTGGAGACCAATAACTCCCAAAATAAACTGAAATCCCAGTTTTACCTTCAGTAATGTGGTGTCCTGGCTCCTTTAAGAGGCCGCTATATCCCCATATATGCAGCTGTCCTGCTTTTAGAAACTCAGATAAAATAGGTTATAGATCTAAGGAATATCCTTTGCAGACTACAGAAAAGGTTTGGTACTCTAATAAGCTTTTACTAAACAATACATTTCCTTTAATGGACCCCAGGCTTTGTTTCTTTTATCACTAATAGCACAAAAATGGTTTCAGTATATGAAGACCGCAAATAGCTCAAACAATCACCTGCGACTCCAGATGTTGCTCTGTCAGTGTCATCATTTCTTCATAGGTCATTTGTGAGAAGAGGGATGCATATTTGTGTAGGCGTAAGCTCTTCAGCCAGGTCGGCACATCTGCACAGGATTCAGAGAATGCGTTACCAGACATGAAAACTATACAGGTCATCAAATAAGAGTAAATGTTATAAATATCAATTTGAGAAAAGGATATGATGTGGCTAAGGGCCCATTCACACGAATTGCAGTGCGTTCCAGAGCGTAGCTGCAGAAACGCACAAAACTTCCCCCTTCGTTCTAGGGCGGGAGGGGGCGTGGCAGTGCATTGAAGTCAATGGCACCTCAGCCACGCCCCCCCCCTCCCGGAGTGCGATTGGACGCGTGGCAAAACAATGCCTGCGTTCCGGTCCACTGTATGCAGCATTTCTTGCACCGCCACGCCCCATCGCAGCCCAGAACGAAGGGAGAAGTTTTGTGAGCGACTGCTGTGCATCCCAGCAGCTGCCGCTCTGGAACACACTACAATTGGTGTGAATGGGCCCCAATTGAAACCTTTTGTAGCTTTCCTTACGACTGTCAATATTTTTCTATGAATATCAATATAGGAATGTCTTTTTAGTTCCATATGCTGAAGACGTCTATTGTATCCATGTGGTGTGGTATGGCTGCCATCAGTGGTATCCCTCTTATGCCGGAGTCAGTACAGGCCTTGTACATGTCAGCAGCACGGATGTCTGCCTCTGATTTTTCATCAGTGGTATGCTTCATATTGACGTACGTATTTACGGAGCTGATGGGATTAGCAGGTTATGTTTTAGCAGAAAAATAAGGCTGTTTGAGCTTTCTGTTAAGTTCACAGAAACTGACAAGGTCACTGTATTTCTGGCAGGATCAACAGATATTTTCTGTACTTCTCAAAATGTTCTCAGCCTGAAAACAAAAGAAAGCTAATGCAGCCACCACATCTAAAGACTGGCAAGCTGCTAGATTTGAAAATTTTGTTTTTGGTTTCCGTTATCGGTTAAGTCATGACATCAAGGAGAATAAAAAAAAGGCACACTATGTATCATGCTATGTACAAAACAATAACATATATATCTATATCTTAAATAAAAAAAGGATTTAAAACACTTTGAAAATGGATACATAAAATGCATTTAATTCCAGGTAGTAACAGCACAAAATAAGGAAAAATCCAAGAGGGTTTAATACTTATACAAAGCAACACACAAGCGCAGTGTTTTTTTGGGCGATTAAAACTTATGTCTGAGAACATATCCCCCCAATGAACTCAAAACTAGTGACATCACTGAGGAGTGAACTACTTACTCCAGGCACATATGTCAACGTTGTTCCATGCAAACACAGCATATGAGGCACATGCACACATCAGGACCCCCCATTACAATGTCGTCTAGCATTCTTTTTTCTACCTTTCATTCCACTGCCGTCCTCCTGGAAGGAGTTACGTCCAGAGATGATCTCCTCTGTCTGTTCGCTGCCTGATGAGGCCACGCTACTCTGAGGGGAGAGGGGAGCGTGGTCTGGGGTGAGGAAGACAGGACGTCCAGAAACCTCATCTGTCCCTATCCAATCACTGGACGTCTGCTGGGATGTGGGAATCAGGGACATGGAGCGCTTCAGGGGGCTTGGGTGCATTTGGCAGGGAAGCACTGCAAAACAGAGACCAGGGTGAATCATACATGAAGCATAGGCGTGCTGTGAGATACCTTTACCAATGACAAATGATGGACTTCTTATTTTTGGAAGGAAAATCAGAGGGTCTCTTATTCATGTTTAATATATAAATGTCCAAAAAGTAGTGAAAAGTGACACCATACGCTCAAAAACCGTTTGAGATCAGATAGGCACGGCTCTGACAGGAGATCAAAGGGAGTTCAGTACACGATCACCCTTTGATCTATTCTCCAGTCCCGGAATGCAGGAAGTGATGTATATTACATCACTTCCTGCATTTCAATGTCACTTTCCAGCTACAGAAGCTGATGAAGCAGATCTGTGCTTCATCAGCTTCTCTGGGGGTTCCTAGGTGACATTAGGGGTCTTAGAGACCCCTGATGTCTTCATAAAGAGGACCTGTCATGTAAATTGGCTATCACATTAGGGGGCTTCTTAGCCCCCCTTGCAATAGCAATAAAGTTGTGTCAAAAAAAAAAAAAAAAGTAATCCAAAAATTATACTCTTTATGGAGCCTGCCCTCCAATACAGGAGCACAAGCAGGCTGCTACAAGTGAACCAATCACAGTGATCACAAGTGTAAACACTGCATGGGTTTACGGACAGTCAGCCCTTCCCTTCCTCTTACAATGGAGGAAGAGGAAGTGCCGGAAGGAAGGGATCGGTGGCAGCAGATTCAAGGTGGGTGGGGGATGTTTAAAGTACCATTGATCACCAATAGACAGAGCGTACTACTTGGCTTCACAGGATGACTTTTAAAAGGCTAAGCACACCTAAATCGGCTCAATACCAGCTAGTTTCGTCAAACTATCACAGCACTGAGAAATGGCCTGGTAATGAAGTGGTCTGGAATCTTGTACTCAAGCAGGTAATGAGTTAGAATACATGAATCCGCAAACAACAAAGGTCTAGCACACTGGATGCCCCTCACTTGGGGTTTAGTAGTCTTACCTGTACCGCTGCCGACACTCTGGATAGCGGAGGGCACTGAACTGGATGAATGAAAGGGCATCAGTCCATTTTCTCTGAGTGGCTTTTCTTGCCAGCTATGTCCAGATTCTCCCATGCCCAGGTCCCCTGGGGCCTGCCACTCGTCAGAGCCTTGCCGTAAGTGCGTAGCAGGTACTTCAGGTCTGCCATGCCGGCTGTAACCTGTGGAAAGTCGATCTTCCAGATGATTGAGCCACAATGCCAGAGAGTTGCGATCATCCAGCGTCGTGGCTGGGTGGATTAGTGCATAGGACAAAAGCTGCCGGCTCTCCTCTATGTACTGGTTGCTCTCTGTGGTGTATGCCAGCACTTTCTGCAGAAGTTTCATGTACTCGCATTTTGCTTCGGTGTTCCTGGGCTGCAGCAGGGGCAGGTGAGACAGGAGCAGAGAGATCACCTTCTCCTTGGATTCCTGATGCCACTGACTTATCAAAGCTGCAAACACAGACAAAAAAAACAAATAATTCAAAGGTGTTGTTCTTTGTTTCCACATGAACTCCAATAGGAAATAGAACATTTACAGGGTACTACCGTGTTTCCCCGAAAATAAGACAATGTCTGTAGGCCTTATTTTTTTTTCAATGTACAACAATCCACACTTATTCATGTAAAAAAGTCTACATGTATTCATGTACAAAAATATGGTGATCAGGGGTGCTGTACCTTTCCAAGAGCAATTTGCTAACCAATCGCTGGCCAGAATGAGCGAAGCGCACTTTCACTATCGATTCCTCACAGGCGGAGCGCATTTGGTATCACTCCACCTGTGACAGGAGCCGGCGCTATAGAGGAAGCATCGGCTTATGAAGCTCTGCTCCCTCCGCTGCCGACTCGCTTCCTCTAGCGCTGGCTTAGTTGGCACAACTGATTCTCTCCCGCCTCTCCCATCGCTCTTCAAGTTCCCCCTTATGCCACCACCGGCCCTGGGAATGGTCACAACTAGGTCTTATTTTTGGGGGTAGGTCTTATATTTTAGCAATTCCCAAAAATAGTACTAGGTCTTATTTTTGGGGAAACAGGGTAGGACAGCACAGACAGTAATTACACACTCCCAAAGAGAGGAGAGGGCTACGACACGGAAATTACTCTTTGCAAACAATCAAATCTGTTAACAAGTACAAAGGCATATTTCAAGTAAATAAAAAAAATGGTTTACAGGAAGGAAAAACTTTGCAAGTACCACTTTTACGTGCTTTTGCCTGAGACCGAGGATAAGGCGAGTATATCTGCTCTATTTGAGCCCCCTACACAAAATGAGCACTTGACTATAGCAGTGCAGGGGTAGCTCCACTGCAAAGGTAAGTTTTTAATTTTTCCTTCTTTAAAAAGTGAACCTGTAATTCTATGCAAACCACACAGCAGACACCACAGGATCCCACCCTTTACTTCAACATGCCCATCCACCACTACAGGCCCTGAGGTTTCCTTCGAAAATGTTGGGTATGTGAATAAATCTAGACACATGCTGCTTGCTTCTGACTGAGTTTGGGGCTGGCAACTGATGCATTGCATTGAGGGAGGGAGGAGCTGCATCGGTGAGGGTGGCAACAAAGGGGTAAGCACCCTACGGTGGTTGCTGACCAGTATATGTGTTAGCTTGAATGTGCAAAGTACAGGTTCATTGTAAATTCACCAAGCAGACATAGCGTCCTCACTGACTGACTTGGATTTTCTTCTCTGCTTCATTATTTCCGGAATCTGAGCCTGGAAAAATGCACACACAGCAGAAAAATGCATAGCAAATATACTACTTAACAAGTCATAATGACTGTGACCATACCAGCACGAGAGATTGCTGCAATGATAAGCTCGATTGCTCAGACATTACTGGGGCAGTTTATGTCATTCACAGTCTGCTAATAGTAAACGGCTCAGGTAGAATGGTCTGCTAATCAAAGTAATGGAAAAGACAAAAATCCACTAGTAAGCAACAATGTTCTCCCTAGGAATCCTTTAGGGCTCATTTACACCGGCCTGCAAAATAAAATAGCCAGTTTTAGTGTGTGGGCTGGTGTCAGTTGTGCGTCGATGGATAGAAGAGGTGCCACGTGTGGTTGCAGTGCAAAGTTTACCTTTTCGTTTTAAACTTTCTTGAAATTTCAAAGTTTATTTTACTGTGGTTTACTATTTTTCACTGTGGTCTGAAAAGGGGGATATAGACGACAGCTTGCTATGAGCCCTTGCGGTCACTGTTGCTGAAAATGCCAGTCACTGCCCATGGTGTGAATGAGCCCTTACAGCTCGGTGGGACGAAGGAATTACCTTACAATATAGGAACCATATAGCATGTTTACATTTAGTGTAGTCCATATAGTGTGTTTGCTGGCCACATTATGTTTAGGGCCCGTTCACACCAGTAGGCCACAATCTAAACACATTGCACTGTTTAAAATGCTAGAACTTTATTGAAATGTCAATAGTAACATTTCATTAAATTCAATTGTCACTGCACCAGAAAAGAAGGGGTGACTGGCACTGCAATATGCTGAAAAATACGACTTTATGGACGCATGCACAGCATCACATAACACATTTCGGGGCCATGCAGGGTCCCCTTCATCTGGGTTTTGCATGATAAAAGCGGACCCTGCATGGCCCCAAAATGTCATGCATCAATAAAGGCGTATTGTATTGATCAGCATACCAGTAGCACTGACCCCTTTTCTGATACTGTGCGGCGCCATCCGTCTATCACTGCAGCAGCCACCTATTCCAAAAAGGGACTTACCGGTCAAGAGTGCGATGGGACCTTTACAACAATTGGCACAGCACAGTGCAATGTGGCTGTACTGAGGCACACTGCTGCGCTGAAAAAAAAAAGTACAAAGAGCCATACTTTTGTTTTTTCAGTGCAGCATTGTGGTGGTGTGAACTGTGCCCAATGAAACAAGGCAAATTGCCTTGTCAGTTCGTTGGGGTGGCGCAGGAAAGCAACAGCAAAGCCCCAACGCTTCTGGTGTGAACGGGCTCTAAAGCAACAAGAGGGTAGAACAAAAGCAACTTGTGCTACTTTCCAACAGCATCTGAGCTGCACTAGAGTGTAAGGAGAGATTTACTGGTAAGAAGGCACATCAACAAAAAATAATGTCAGTATACTATAAAGAGATATGTATAGTAAGCACATCCAAATCGATGCTTAGAGGTTTGACTCCAGCAAACAATCCCGTAATATCACGATCACCAAAGATCTCAGCGGCTACAGTAGATCAGCACGACACAAAGCTGGAGGCAGCGATCGGGTAAAGAAAGCCTTAGGAATGACACAGATCAGAGGATCTATTTTTAGTTCTTTTGCCTGTCACTAATAATGGGTTTGGTGACTCAGTAGGATGCTGATACATAGCCAAACAAATTCCTAGAGATACAGATTTTGCTGGTTCTGTTCAGTCACACTGAGCCAAATAAAGTGCTGTACCTTTTCATCTTTCCGCTAACTCTGGAATGACAAATCTGTGCGACTGAAGCTAAATATTTGATGAAAACTGGATGTCAAACTCTCAGACTAGAGGCAGCTGAACGATCATGCAAATCTTTACAATTATTGATGTGCCCCTCCGCCTCCCTCCCTTAAAAATGTGTGCTAAACAAATTAAGAGGCACAAGAAATGGCAATTGTCACCTCAACAGGAAAAGTCAAAGTTTGTATTTCATTTTAGCTGCCTAGATCACTTGATGTGGTTTCACTTAAGATAACCTGCATGTTGAATGTTTTCCTCATGTGCTCCATGTGGACTGCCCAGGTTTATGACAGGTTCAGTTTTAAGATGACTGCTCATTTTGGTCTAGGGGCTCAAATGCAAATGAAGCAAATATACTCACCCGATTCTCTGTCCTACCAGGCTGCTAGACCGGTCCCCGTGCAGCCTCTTCTCCCTTGGGCTCATAGGTTCTAAGGACTGCTGATGTGACTACTTAAACGACAGAGCGCCGGGGGACATTCCAAACCAAGAGCAGAGGGGGGAGGGGATGGGTATGGGACGAGGCGAGTATATCTGCTGTATTTGAGCCACGTAGACAAAAGGCACCCTTTTGTCTACGTGGGTAGACCCACTGCAGGGGCAAGATTCCAGGAGCTCTTCTTTAAAGGCGTCTATATATAAACCAGAGCCAAATGTCCTGCAAAACTCAATGTTCATTTTGTGCGAAAGGCGGCAAAAATGAATATTCTTTGTAGATTTTTTTTTTTTTAAGTCCAACGTAAAATAGGAAAAATACCTCTTTAAGGGCACCTGATGAGCTATATATACCCCGAATACTTTTTTTTCCTTCTAACTTTAGGTCTCGTTCACACCTAGGCGTATTGCATATCCGCGTCTGTCGCACGGTTTTTTTTACCGCAATTCGCGTTAAAAAAGTCGCGCGTTTCCGAAGGCTACTTGTCTTTATCCCAATGGAAACGCGCAACAAAACGGCCCAAAGTAGTACACGTACCTTTTCAAGGCGTGGGCCGTTTTGTAGCGCGTTAGGGACGGGCGGAAATACGCCAAGGTGGGAACGAGACCATTGAATACAATGGGATTTATATTTTTGAGCGTTTTGTAGAGCGTTCGTCGAGCGTAGAACGCGCTACAAAAAGTTCAGGTGTGAACGAGGGCTTACAGTCAACTTTAAAAGAAAATACCAAGAACATTGGTTTGGTCCCCATTCACACAGAACAAATGTTTAGAGTTGCAGGAGGCATGGCTCTGCAAATTGTAAATAGACTCCAAAGTGAATGTAAACGTCTCCCGTTTTCTCCCTTTTTATCTGTTAAATATACAATTGAAAGCATTTGTTATATTTCCTATGTGCAAAACAAAATGCGTGTTGATTCTTCCGGAAATCCAGCAAGTTCGTAACTTCCTGTGATTTATTTTTCTGTCACACTGCAATCAGTCCTGCGTTATCAGTCCTGTCTTATTCACCTAACAAATCAACTTCCACATGCTGTGAGCTTTAGAGGAGGTGTTCAGTAGTTCTAAAACACTTTCTTTCCTAGGGTGACAATGCTGCCCTTCCACAGACATAGTACAGTGAGTGAGCGTTGTCACCCTAGTACAGCAGATATATTATTGTCCAGATCAGCAGATAATAGAAAATTCCAAGGACCCAAATGTAGCCCCTACATCAACCTTCTTTTCGTCACGGCACCCTTTAAAGTATGAAAAATCTTGAGGCACCCCAGTCTAAAATGGGACGATTTTATGGAGGGCCCACTTCACATCAGGAACCCTCTTCACTTCAGATGTCCCCTTCACATCAGAGTTCCCCCTTTTACATCAGGAACCCTCTTCACTTCAGGTGCCCCCTATTTTACATTAGGAACCCTCTTCACTGTAGATGCCCCCATTTTACATTAGGAACCCTCTTCACTATAGATGCCCCCTTCACATCAGAGCCCCCCATTTTACATTAGGAACCCTCTTCACTGTAGATGTGCCCATTTTACATTAGGAACCCTCTTCACTGTAGATGCCCCCTTCACATCAGAGTCCCCCATTTTACATTAGGAACCCTCTTCACATCAGAGTCCCCCATTTTACATTAGGAACCCTCTTCACTGTAGATGCCCCCTTCACATCAGAGTCCTACCATCACAAAATTTCAAAAGCACCCATGGAGGAAGCAGAAGACACCCGTGGTGCCATGGCACCCTGGTTGAGAAAAGCTGCTCTGCATCAAAGCACTGATAAGCTGCAACATTTTCATTCTTGTGTTTAGATGCGCATTACCATCTTTGCTGTAAGAGGATGTTTTATGTCTTACAAGAACAGCCCCTGGATTTGTGGTCTGATGCGTCAGGGGCTCTGTGCTTGGGACCCCAATCCAACAGCTACTCAAAAAGCTGTTAAGAGCGGCCTAATATTGTACAGTATGACGCAGCAGTGACTCAGAAACCCAAATGCAAATAACCTATTGGGCAAGGCATAGAACAAGGCCAGCCACATCAGCCCCAGAATCAAAAGGTAATGATTTAAGGAAGACCTGCACTGTATGCTAGTCATTCAGCTGTTATGCTGACCTTACAACTTCATTACTGCACAGTCACAGACACACAAAAACAAATATGCAGTGTAACGGTTCTGACCTCTATGCTGCAGGTCAGTGACTCAAGAAGTATTAGACCCGAAACTCCCAGGTAACTAGCAGTCTCAAGAAAAAGAGATTGGCAGCCTAGTTATTCCTCTAAGTGCAGGCTGTAAGTATGCCATCCCTTTCCATTTTAAGGACAAAAGCCATATAAATAAGCCACATATCTATATGTAATACTGGTATAAAAAAGTACAATGATTATTCCTCATTTAATAGTGGGTGTAGATATCACTGCTGCTATAGTGACAGTGTCAGTACCAATTCAGAGATGATTGGAGGATCTACAGCCGAGTGATACACAAATAAGATACATTTCTGTTAATAGTTCAGGTACTTGAATGTATTTTTAAGGTTTAATTCCACAGTTTAGTGTCACTTTAATTATAAGGGCAGCTACACTTACAAGTTTCTTAGTCTCCCTGCAAAGTCCCACTAATATTTTTTTTGAACCAGTGAAGTCCACCTAATGCAGTGTTCTGTGATGGGGTGGCAACACTGCTCCTGTATTCAGAGCAGCGTTGCCACTATAATAAAGGTTGTGCCCGTTTGTACTGCACTGGGTTTTGAAAATGTGGCAGGGGGTATTTACTGCAGATATGCAAGACTGTAGCTCATCCTTCGGCACCTGACAACACCTAGTCATGCCCTCTGCTTTCTGCATTGATAGGATTTCCTCTGTTGCGGAAGCCCTCCCACTGAAAGCTGCAGTGTCGGGGTGGGGGAGTGTGAGAGACAGAAAGGAGGATTTGGCTCAGTCAGGGAAGGTTAAGAAAATCTTTGTGTTTACTTGCTTGTGCATCACATAAAAACTGGATTTGGTTGTTGTTTAGACTGTCATACAGGAGCCTTTAGATGTCCCTTAAGTTTAAAACAAGTATTCAGACACTTGCAGACTCAGGAGAAACAGGTCACTTTATTTAGTGAACTTCTACCTGTCCAGAAAATACTCCCTTGATAACAGGTTGCCTTCAAACTCGGAAACTATTTACAGATGACAAGAGGATATAGCGTGGATGATCGCACTCACCAGCACTGTTGGCCTCTGTCTCCAGGATGTGTATCTCGGAACAATCCGACAGCGAGTGCTCCAAACACAGTTGCAGGAAACGAGCCTGTGTCCTTGTGATCCTCTTCAGCAGAGACAGAAGGGCCACCGTCTGCTCACATTCGTTCCAGCCTTTGAACCACTCGGATAACGTGCTCACCTGGTCTCTGAATTTCATGATGCAGGTGAGAAAAAGCTACAACCACAAGCACGGGAGCAATTCTATGACATGGCACACGACAATGTGTACAGGGGTGGCCCAATCACAGGATGGCACATGGGGGATAGATGAACAGCCACGTATACACCGGAAAATTCTAAGACTGAAAAAAAAAAAAAAAGAAAAAATAATTTAGACAAAAAGGTTATATAAAAGAATATACAAATATTGAAAGTGAACTCATGCTTTGCCCATGCAGTGTAAAAAACAGATGGTTCACTTTAATGCAACCCGGCGTTTGGGTGAAGGAAGTGAAATGCCGCCCCCTCCGGCCAGCATGAGAATAAAAACTCCCAACAGTTCTGGGTATAGAAATTTTGACACACTCCCATTCCTCTTGTAACATTGCTTTGTGATTGGCCAATTAGGCATCCAGCGCTGTCAAACAGTAGCAGGAAACATTTCGCTCCCACCAACCAGCAGAAATTCTCCTCTCTGAACCAGCTGTAATGATGCCATAATGAGACCGGGAACACACATGGCTGTTGCTGACTCACCCAAATTATTTTGGGTGTCTGGTTCAGATAGGCTAATTTTAATACCAGCAGACATGGAGCCGGAACTTTTAATAGGTGAGAAATATAAACAGCCTCTTAAGACAAAGGGAGAGATCTGACAGCATTTGCTATAGACATTCACAAAGCTCTTCTAATTTAGCCCTCATTCACACAAGAAACTGCCGGCCCGTACAGATCCGTGCTGTGTGCACAGCCGTATCGGGCCGCTCCTGGGAAGGACATGTGTTGCGTGCGATTTGTACGCAGCAGCCTGTCCTTCTCTATGGGAGTACGCAGCTGTACGCTCACCCGAACTGCACGTCCGTACGGGTGTCCCTGCTCGGACGCAGACAGAATCCATCCCGTCACCGTACAAGTATGGACACCCACATAAACTTACAGTTCAGGTGAGCATAGGGCGGCGTACACGATCTCTCTCTCTCTGATCTCCTCTCTGCCCCCGAATGCCGGAAGTGATGTATAGTACATCACTTCTGCGTTCTGCTGTCACTTTCCAGCTTCAGAAGCTGGTGGAGCAGATCTCTGCTTCATCAGCTCCTCTGGGGGTCCCTAGGTGACCCCTGATGTCTCCATAAAGAGGACCTGTCATGTAAATTGGCTATCACATAGAGGGCTTCTTAGCAATAGCAATAAAGTTAAGTATAAAAAAATAATAAAATAAAAAAAAACACAATTTGTTTAAGTCTCCACCCCCCACATACACACGCAAACATGCGTCGGGTGCGCCTACGTGCGAAAACTACAATTGCGTCGCACGTTGCATATCGACGCAAACGTCGGAGTGAGAGCAATAATTTTAGGGCCATTAATCACTGATAACCCTAAACTGATGAGCAGTAAAAGCGTGTAAAGTGTTGCCTATAGCCAATTTTCGGTGTGGCCGTTTGCGATTTTGCGGGTGCGTGAAATTTAAGACTTGACATATTTGGTGTCTATTTACCTGACGTGACCCCGTCTTATATTTTACCAAAAATATGGGTAAGAATAAATGTTTTTGTAAACATAACATAGGAAAAACATTTGTTTTCCCGCAATTTATGGTAATTTTTTTCATTATATAGTAAAAAAAAATTCCCCCCCCCCCGGAGATTATATACTACCAAAAGAAAGCTCTATGTGTCCCTAAAATTTTTTAACATAAATTGCAAGGCTAAAGTCCGGTCATGGTGAAATATTTGACTGACCAGTGAAACACCCTAAAATTTTTCAAGCCCTGTATACACACACACACACACACACACACACACACACACACACACTATGCGGGCACATATACAACATCAATACCCAGACAACTACTCTTGAGATATGCCCAAGGTTCAGGACAGGGGTAGGCAACCTCTGCACGCCAGCTGAAGTGAAACGACAAATCCTACCATGCCTCTATCTTTGGGAGTTATGCCTATGGCACTCAGTCTTGCAATGCCTCCTGGGACTTGTAGTTCCACAACAGCTAGAGTGCCGAGTTTGCCTACCCCTAGTTCAGTAAATGTGGTAAAGTGTAACACGATAAATGTTCCTCCCCGCCATTACACGTAAAAAGACGGTATGGTATATTTTTAATGAACAGATATTTTGAGATATAATTGGTGTTTACTCAAAAGACATATTTGCCATCACATTTGAACATACTCGCTGTAGCATATTTTTGTTACAGGAATAAATATAGAGATATATACACAAACATACAGATATGATGAGATCAGCTAAATATATATCTAATCAGAGTGTTGATGTTTTCTTGTGTTCATGATTTGTAGTGTAATTATACATAATATGCAATCCGTGGCAAACACAGCTGTTTATTACATAGCCTGCCTCACATTCCTGCCCACACCCTCTCATCATACCCACAAATACTAAAAGAGGAAAAACTATCTCTGTAGTCCCCAAGGATGTGAAACACCAAAAAGGTACTTTTTTCTTTTACTCAAAAATAGTGTTAGGATCTTGTGTACCCTTTCTTCTCCCCATGACCATTCACAAAACACCTTGAATACCATTTACATAATACAAGGCATTCTGTGAATGAACATGGGAAGGCCCTGTTCAAGCCCGTGACATACTGCATGTGAAGCCGTGTGGAGCAAAGCAAAGCTGTGAGGTACGGACGTTCATATGTGGCCAGATGAAAGACTGCAACTCCAGCCAATCGGCTCTTGCATAATAACTCAATGGACTTCGCATCCTGTAGCGAGGGTTTATACTAGGGATGCACCCATACTATGATCGGTGCCGATGTCAAGTATTTGGGCGAGTAAGTGTGTATTGACTTGCTGCCCGGCTTCCCGATTGGTGGGAAAGCTGACCAATCAGGAAGTCAGGCGGCGTGTAATGACGCGGTGCCCGCTTTCTGATGACGAGAGAGTATGGAGCCGGCTTCCTGGCCAATCAGGAAGCCAGCTCCATGCTTTCTTGTCACCTTGTGACGAGAAACATGGGGGCGGCTTCCCTGCTAATCGGGAAGCCGGGTGGCGAATCTTTACACACCGCCTGGCTTCCTTAAAATGGGACTTCCGGTATCGGTAAGTGCTGAAAAAAATATATAGGTACTTGATACCGAAATACCGGTATCGGTGCATCTCTTGTTTATGCGCGAGCAGATTGGCTGAAGATTACATTTTTTATCACGACATGCTCAGCTATGGGGGACCATGATCAGAAAAATGAATTAAGCCTAACAAAATAATTTACAGAATCCATTGCAACCATTTAGAAACAACCTTTCAGGAGGTCAGTCCACCCAAAAACAGAAAAAGGGAAAATTTTACAGCTGGGCTGAGCCCCATCCCAAGGATTACTAACAACCATCCTTAGAAGTGGCCCTCCAAGCAAAACATTACTTTTTATTTTAGGTTCAAGTTGGCTTCCGATGTGTCCCACAAAACTAAAAGAAAAGCTCTGGGTGGCGTTCCACTTTAAGTAATCTAGGGACAAACTTATAGCAGAAGACAGAGCTATGATTACTCTGCATCTCCCAGATTCCTGAAATAGCAAAATGGTGACAGTACAAACTTTCAGCACTAACAATTTTTGGCAAAAATCATTCCCTGACCACACCCTGCTCAGCCACAAAACATAAGGCAGACCATCAGAATTCACTATGTATTTAATACTTAAAAAAATAAATAGAGAGGCAAAGCCAGCTGTCAATCAGGCAATAGTGTGGATCCCGACAACATTGTCAGGACTGTTCCCGGCTGCAGCATAGCTCTGCGCTGTCAACATTTAGCAAGCAGTAGCCTGCTAGATCCTGACTTTGGGTTGCAGGAGTACTTTAGTAAATATACCTCTGACCCAAAACAGGACTAAAGCCCCCCAAAAAAACTTTGGCTTCATTTATTTTTTAATAGCAGTGATATTATCACTGTTCTGTACATAGCCTGTGCAGAGAGCAGAGCTGTGGGAGGGACCCAGCGGGCCCAACACACTACAGGCTGCCTGCAGAAAACAACAGGATGGGGGCGAAGACAAGACCAGTCACCCTGCACAAGGAGAGAACACCAGTGACCAGTCTTTATTACAGGAGGGGGTGAAGACAAGACCAGCCACCCTGCACAAAGAGAGAGCAGCAGTGACTGGTCTTTATTACAGAAGTTCCTGCACAGAGGCAAAGTTACACACTGGATTACTGCTTAGATCTGGAAGAAATACATGAAGCATATCAAAGTTCATGTAAGAACAATACAAATGGATCTGGAGTTTAGACAATATTTGCTCATCCTTGATTTAAAAAAAAAAAAAATCAATTTTTTTAGAGAAGGAAAGGGTTAAAGCAGAATAAAGCCACCTATACTTACCTCCCCTCCAGCGATGTGAAGTCCCTGAGCTACCTCGCTGGTGCTGACATCTTTGCCTGGTCATCGTCCAGCTTCGGCATCCTCTGACAGCTTGATTGGCTGCCTCAGGACGAAGCAACTTCCGCAAGTTAATTCATCCCAGCAACGAGGTATGTCGGGAATGTACACTGAGCTGCACATGTACATTCGAAAGAGATTTGTGAGCAGGCAGCCCAGAATATTTTATTGCAGAAGAAACATAGGGATCTAGTTATGTTTTCACCCAAGATTCACACACTTTTTTTTTTAATCAGATATTATTTGTTTTTTTTTCCCCCCCCTTTACCTGACTGGCCCCTCATTCTGTAAGTATGTTCTTCAAACGGAACATATTTACTAATACCAGCTTTCCATTCTTCAATTGTAGGGGGATACTCCCAAGTCCATTTGACTGCTATTAATCTTCTAGCCAGAAACAGTAGCCTTTTTATTGCTAAAGTGCTGTTATTATCTAGATAGTCAGAGTTGAAACCTCCTAGAATACATGTTAATGGGTTAATATCCACTATATTTCCATATATTCTATTTAGATGCACACACCTCTAATTGGATTTAAAGCCGTATGCTAGGAAAAAAAAAAAAACTCCTCCCTTGCAATTGGCTTCATCCATATTGCCAGGGTTACATTTTCGTTTATGCCTAGAGTAGCAGTAAAAAGCTATTTTACTTACCTGATCTCTTACTCCTCCCGGCAGTCAGTGCTCAACTCTTCTCTACGACGCTTAGGTGGTCCCTTGGTGCCCTCACATGCAACGCAGGGCTATTGTAACACCATAGAGAAGGACCTGAGTACATGCAACTCAGTGCTATTGGCCCTGCATTGTACAGTACTCGATGGCATCAGAGGGCCTGTAACACCATAGAGAAGAAAGACCTGGCTGCATAGCATGAAGGGAGCCTGCGGGAGCAATGGATCAGGCAAGTAAAAGTCCTTTTTACCGGTAGCCTAGGTAAAAAAAAGGAACATTTCGCCCTTGCAGTGCAGAAGGAGGGCCTCTACGGATGCAAGCTTTAAAAGGAGCACTATGAGGTGAGTGCTTTTCACTCACCTCATAGTTCTAAGCCGACCTGTGACAATGAGACTGTCACAGGTCGGCTCAGTAGATCGGGAGGTGAGCGAACACATACCGGGTTCCCTCACCTCTCGATCCTGTCACGGCTCTCTGCCATGACAGAGGGAGGGGCTGGATTCCCCTCTCCCCGCTCCGATCTGCCAGCGCTGACTGGCGGAATGGACGGGGGAGGGGGCGGGTACAGCTGGCTCTGCCTCTAGATAGGCAGAGCCAGCTGTCACTCACACAGCTGGGCGGATCCCGTCATCTAAGTTGGGATCCGCTCCAGGTGCAGCGTCTCAGTATACCGCGAGCTGTATACTGAGCTTAGGGTAACGGGAGGACGCTAGTTTGTGTCCTCCCGTTACCCTAAGGAGAACTATGGGGAAAAACACTGACCCCATAGTTCTCCTTTAATTGGAAAAGTGTGTGAATCTTGAAATTTGTGTGACAAACAGAACGTAAAAGTGAGAGAACCCCCTCCTATTAGACAGGTATCCCCACTGGAACATTTCCTGTTTTGGCGTCAGCTCATAACTTTGAATTTTTCCATCACTTCTCCTGGTAACAACCAAAATCTACCAAGTGACGACATACAGCAAAAAAAACAAACACTCGACAGGTTCCCAACTTCTCACTACTATCCAAACCGATACAAGGGGCCTGGTAAAGCTATCAGTAGAGTGAAATGAATGCAAATTGGGACATTTTTACTAATACAACAAACAATGGATTCCCAATGTGTGTTCCTGATAAACGCAACACGTTCATCAGAAATGTGAAAATCTCTATTTGTGACATGTCACTGAAATGTCTTATGTTGTGCGACACAAGCGGCAGGTGGCACAGGACAATGGCCGCTGCAATATCACTCATCGCAATTTTCCACTTTTTTGTGACAATTCCACAAACGGGGCTCAATGAACTACTGATGGTGCAACGCAGAGTTTATGGAATGTGCAAAATAATTGTTTAAGTTGAACGATTTGAACAGCAAGATGCGCCAAATGTTGAAAAATCCCAAAATGTGACGTTGCACAATGTGACGCAATGAAGGTTTACAGTATTGCACCAAGACAACAATGAAGCCAGTGAGAATCACAGTTCCTGCACCTCATATAGGTATTGCAACATAATCATTTTAGATTGTAAGCTCACATGACCAGGCCCCCTAATTCTCCTGTATGGAGTTGTATTGTAACTGTATTCCCTCCCCTGTTTTGTAAAGTGTTGTTAAACTGCCGGCGCTATAGAAATCCTCTATATTAGAATGTGAAATGCAATGTGCCACAATCAGATTTTCTGTGCCACACTTCACATTCCTCTACAACCGCCAGTCATAGTTTATCGGGCCCTATCTCCCCGTCGCAATGATTCATGTGGCCCTAGCTCCACGTCACAATACCTCAGCGGGCCCTAGCTCCGCGTCACAATACCTCGGCGGGCCCTAGCACCGCGTCACAATACCTCGGCGGGCCCTAGCACCGCGTCACAATACCTCGGCGGGCCCTAGCACCGCGTCACAATACCTCGGCGGGCCCTACCTCCGCGCCCTATCTCCCCGTCACAATACGTCGGCGGGCCCTATCTCCCCGTCACAATACCTCAGCAGGCCCTATCTCCCCGTCACAATACCTCGGCGGGCCCTATCTCCCCGTCACAATACCTCGGCGGGCCCTATCTCCCCGTCACAATACCTCAGCGGCCCCTAGCTCCACGTCACAATACCTCAGCGGCCCCTAGCACTACGTCACAATACTTTAGCGGGCCCTAGCTCCCCGATACAATAGTTTACTATGGGTTATATTTCCCTGTCACAATAGTTTATTGGGACCTATTTCCCTGTTGCTATAATTTATTAGGGCCAAGCTCCCTGTTACTATAGTTTACTAGGACCCATTTCCCTATCACTATACTTTATTGGGGCTTAGATCCTATTGGGGCCTAGATCCCTATTACTATAGTTTAGTGGGCCTTAGCTTCCTGTTGCAATAGTTTAGTGGGCACCTCTGAAGTAATGAGGGCAGACATAGGAGTTAGGGTGTAGGAGACAGATGGAAGCTATTTTATTGGTCCATTAGCAGTCACAGGGTATACTGGGAGGGGTGGGCTGACAGGGCAGCATAGGACAAGGCACACACATCACCCCCTTATTATATAGCTACATGCTACCCAACCCCCACGTCTCCTTTCCCTCAGAGCTGAGCCCCTTGTCGGTTGCTATGGAGATGAGTTGAGGGGTGGCTCCTCTGTCCCCCCTATAGACTGCCGCTCCACTTTAGCGCCGGAGAAGTCCCCAGCCGCCCCCACCCTGTCCCAGACAGCTTCCGCCCGCTCTCCGTTCACACTTACCGCCCGCTCAGGCCGCCGCCCCCCCCCGGGGAGCCACACAGGCAACCACCGCCGCCAGCACGTCGCACGTTACGCTCTGCGTGGAGACTGACGTCACCACGTACGTCGAGGCCGCGCAGACTTCGCCTCCGATCGTTGATTGGCCGTCAAGGGCGGGTGATTGACAATCGCATCGGTAAGCCCGCCTCAAAGCCACGCCTCTGACAGAGACGACTCGTTAGGATTGGCCGGGGCGGGTTTAATTGACAAGAGGAGAACAATGCAGGAGGGTGTGTCCTGGAGAGCACTGCAGAGGGAGAAATGTCATGTAGATGGCAGGGATGTGAATGATGATACTGGCTGACAGTCATTGATATGAATCTTCTCCTAGGGAAGGTGCAACCAGTTTTGTATTATGGTTAAACTCCCCAAAACAAAACTGGTGTAGACAGAATCTGGAGCAGTCACCCATGGCAACCAATCAGCTTCTTCAGTTTGCTAGATTAAGCTTTGAAAATGAAAGAGAGACGCTGATTGGTTGCCATGAGTGACTGCTCCGGATTCCGTCTGACCCAGTTTTGATAATTGCCCCCATTATATTGCAGCTTACCAGTCCTTAGATGTAGCGGCTGCATTAGTTTTCTCCTTTTCCTTTATTTCACCTGGTGATCCTGCTAATCACACACTTCCTGTCCTAGGGTGACAACGCTCGCTCACTGTACTGTATCTGGGAGAAGCCTTGTCACCCTAAGCTGCTGTCCTCATTTGGTCGACAAGCACTCCTCCCTCTTTCCTCATCCCCATTACATAGGGAGGAGGAGTTGTGTAATTGTAGTTTTCAGCTTAGGCTGCTGTCCTGATTTGGTCTACACGCACTCCTCCCTCTTTCCTCATCTCCATTACATAGGGAGGAGGGGTTGCGTAATTGTAGCTTTCACCCTAGGCTGCTGTCCTAGTTTGGACTACAAGCACCCCCTCCACCTTTCCCCATCTCCATTACATAGGGAGGAGGGGTTGTGTAGTTCCCAAAAGATAACATTGTTTGAGATTTTATTTCAGTGACAAGGGGGTGCGCGGCGATTCCTAATATGTGTGGCGCAATCGTCAATTCCGTATATAGGTGCACCCGACGCATGTGTTTACGCGTGTATGTGTTGGGGGGCTTTATATATTTTTACATTTATTTTGATAAAAACATTTTCATTTTGTTGTTGTTATATAATTGTTTATTAATTTTCAAACAACACTCCAAGTATTTTGCATTTACATATTTAACAAACATGCAACAATAAAACAAGACAATATATAACAGCAATCCGCTCTCCGCAATTCATATATGCACAGGGCCAAGCTCTCCTGTCCCTTCCCTAAGCCCTCGTTCATACCTGAACGTTTTGTAGCGCGTTCTACGCTCGACGAACGCTCTACAAAACGCTAAAAAATATAAATCCCATTGTATTCAATGGTCTCGTTCCCACCTTGCCGTATTTCCGCCCGTCCCTAACGCGCTACAAAACGGCCCACGCCTGAAAAGGTACAGGTACTACTTTGGGCCGTTTTGTTGCGCGTTTCCATTGGGGTACTGCCAAGTAGCCTTCGGAAACGCGCGACGGCCGCACAACTTTTTTACCGCGAATCGCGGTAAAAAAACGCGCGACGGTCGCGCGACAGACGCGCATATGCAATACGCCTAGGTGTGAACGAGACCTTAACGTGAGTGATTCTATTTATAATTATCTGTGATAGTGACAGTAATAGCTGCCTTTAGCTGTACTTTAGTGTTTGCGTTTCTCTATGTTTCCTCTAACTTTTTTTTCATTTAATTTCTATGCCAAGGAAGCTGATAAGCCCCCCTATGTGATAGCAGAGTGCAGGTGACAGGTTCTCTTTAAAGAGACAGCAGGGGTCTATTAGACCTCTAATGTCACCTCTGCACCCCACTGAAGCTTCTAGACATGTAAGCTGCCAAAAATTCGGTTCGCATATTTTGCTATTTCGGGATTCGAATCCAAAATTCAATTCGGTTCGGGTTTTGGTTTCGCACATAATCTGAATTTTCGTTAGTTTCGGATGAGTTTACGAATATTCGTTGTGAATACCACAGAAAACCGTATACAGATATTAATACTAAAGCTGAGGCTCCCAGGCCCGAATGGCATTGGGGAGTAGGGACGGGATCGATGTTCGACTCTAACATCGGCAGTTCGTGTGTTCGGCGAACACACGAATTATCAGGGCGTTCGGCGGGCTGTTCACCTGCCGAGCTCCGCACAAGGCACTGCGCACCGCACAGTGCCTTGTGAAGCCCTGATTGGGTAAAGCAATGCACCTGACCACCACAGTGCACTGTAAGAGCCATGATTGGGCAAAGTAATGATGATTTTGCCCAACCATGGCTCACAGCTAAGTCCTATCAGGTGGCGGACAAATGTAAACAGTTCTGCCCCCCTGCTGTAATAAAGACCAGTCACTGCTGCTCTCTCTCCTTGTGCAGGGTGGCTGGTCTTGTCTCTGCCCCCCTGCTGTAATAAAGACCAGTCACTGCTGCTCTCTCTCCTTGTGCAGGGTGGCTGGTCTTGTCTCTGCCCCCCTGCTGTAATAAAGACCAGTCACTGCTGCTCTCTCTCCTTGTGCAGGGTGGCTGGTCATATCTCCGCCCCCTCCTGTAATAAAGACCGCTCACTGCTGCTCTCTCTCTTTGTGCAGGATGACTGGTCTGGTCTCCGCCCCCTCCTGTAATAAAGACCGGTCACTGCTGCTCTCTCTCCTTGTGCAGGGTGACTGGTCATGTCTCTGCCCCCTCCTGTAGTTTTTTGCATGCAGCCTACAGTGCAACGGTAGGCAAACTCTGGCCCTCCAGCTGTAGTGAAACTATAAATTCTATCATGCATCTGTTTCTGAGAGTCATGCCTGTGGCTGTAAAATCTTGCAATGCCTCATGGGATTTGTAGTTCCATAACAGCTGGAAGCTTTGCCTGCTGGGCCCCCGCCACAGCTCTGCTCTCTGCACAGGCCATGTGTAGCACAGTGATGATGTCACTGCTACTTAATATCTGGGTTTGCAAAGGCATTTAGCGCACACAAAGGGGATTTATATCCTCTGCGGCTATTAAAGGAGAACTATGGGGTTAGGGCTTTTCCCCATAGTTCTCCTTAGGGTAACACAAACTAGAGGCAGAGCAAGCTGTCCCCGCCCCTCCCCTGTCCGTTCCGCCAGTCAGCGCTGGAGGATCGGAGCGGGGAGGGGGGAATCCAGCCACTCCCCTGTCACGGCAGAGAGCCGTGACAGGATCGAGAAGTGAGCGAACGCCGGTATGTGTTCGCTCACCTCCCGATCTACTGAGCCGACCTGTGACAGTCTCATTGTCACACGTCGGCTAGAACTATGAGGTGAGTGAAAAGCACTCACCTCATAGTTCTCCTTTAAGGAATATATTCCAGTGAAGATTTTTGTTCTCGGAGTTCAGCTTTAGTAGAAACATAATATAGCAAAGAGTAATGCACTGTGGGGGGGATTTTTAAAACTGGAGCAGACAGAATATGGAGCAGTAACCATAGTAACCAATCAGCTTCTGTCTTGGATTTATTCAGTAAAGCTTTGAAAATGAAAGAGAGAAGCTGATTGGTTGCCTTGGGCAACCTTAGAAAACTTAATAATATTGATCCAGAAATGCTAAACGGATCCCATTGAATGACCACTATAGTCAGGCTTTATAGTTATTAAAATAATAAAAATATGGAAGAGCAAAAATCTGTAAAAGTCACGTCAGGCGATAGTAACTCAATATATGTAATCATTTCTCTTTATGTCTTACAGAAAAATCTGGCTTTGTTGATTATTGTGGCATAATTGTCCATTAAAAAGGACATATCTATTTAAATCATTTGAGTGCTGGTGACTTGTCTCTTCATTTTTTACAGAAAAATCTGTCTTTCTGTCTCCTCTCTCCTTATTGAACCATGTTTGTTCCTCGTCAGCTAAATTGCAGCTAACTATGGTCGTGATAACAGGATGTGGTCACGGGACGCATGTTCTGAGCAGCTGCAGAGACAGTACTTTGCTGTGCAGCCCTCTCCTCCTCCTCCTGCCCCTTACATCCTGCTGTCATCCAGGCAAGAGGTACAAAACCGGCAGACAGGAACCCAGCCGCGGAGGAAACGCCCTGCAGGATGGTAAGATGCTTCTTGTCTTGTCTCGCTGGGTCACTTATTGCAGCTTTGCAGAGTTATGTCATGAGGTGAAATCAATTAGCTGAACTCCGGGCACATGAACTTTCATTGAAGTGTATTCCTCAAAAGCCGCAAAGGATATAAAACCACTTTGTAGCTTTACAAACTTAGATATTGTCTTGTAAAAGTAGCGGTGACATCATCACTGTGCAGAGCATAGTCTGTGCAGAGAGCAGAGCTGTGGGAGGGACCCAACAGGCTCCACCCACTGCAGGCTGCCTGTAGAAAACTACAGAAGTGGGCGGAGACAAGACCAGTCACCCTGCACAAGGAGAGAGTAGCCGTGACCGGTCTTTATTACAGGACAGGGCGGAGACAATGACCAGTCACCCTGCACAAGGAGAGAGAGCAGCAGTGACTGGTCTTTATTACAGGAGGGGGCGGAGACAAGACCAGTCACCCTGCGCAAGGAGAGAGTAGCCGTGACCGTTCTTTATTGCAGGAGGGGGCAGGAACCAGACCAGTCACCCTGCACAAGAAGAGAGAGCAGCAGTGAGCAGTCTTTATTACAGGAGGGGGCGGAGACAAGACCAGTCACCCTGCACAAGGAGAGAGAGCAGAAGTGACTGGTCTTTATTACAGGAGGGGGCGGAGACAAGACCAGTCATCCTTGCACAGCACTACCGCTCTTGGACAAGGAAATTCCTATATTCGTCAGCACCATCTAGGGGCGCTGGTGGCATGCAAACGGCACTCACCTGGCTACATGCCAGGCAGAACTTTTAGGAGTGACTGGTCTTCATTACAGGAGGTGGGAGAGACAAGACCAGTCACCCTGCACAAGGAGAGAGAACACCAGTGACTGGTCTTTATTACAGAATGGGGGCGGAGACAAGACCAGTCACCCTGCGCAAGGAGAGAGAACACCAGTGACTGGTCTTTATTACAGAAGGGGGCGGAGACAAGACCAGTCACCCTGCACAAGGAGAGAGAGCAGCAGTGACCGGTCTTTATTATAGGAGGGGGCAGAGACCAGCGAGTCACCCTGCGCAATGAGAGAGAGCAGCAGTAACTGGTCTTTATTACAGCAGGAGGGGGCAGAGACAAGACCAGTCATCCTGCACAAGGAGAGAGGGCAGCAGTAACCAGTCTTTATTACAGGAGGGGGCGGAGACAAGAACAGTCACCCTGCACAAGGAGAGAGGGCAGCAGTAACCAGTCTTTATTACAGGAGGGGGCGGAGACAAGAACAGTCACCCTGTGTTATATTCGTCAGCACAATCTAGGGGCGCTGGTGGCATGCAAACGGCATCCACCTGGCCACGTGCCAGGCAGAACTTTTATCATTGAACCCCGTAGTGTGAGATTGTGTCTGATTAGTCCAGGAGTGGGAACTCTGGGCCTCCAGCTGTTGTGCAACTACAAGTCCCATGAGGCAATGCAAGACTTGCAGTTACAGGCATGGCTCCCAGAGGCAGCGGTGTGATAGTTACATAGTTACATAGTGATGTAACTATGTAACTATGTAAGAAATAGGTAAAGGTGATGGGATTTGTAGTTAAAGCACAGCTGAGGGGCGGAGTTTGCGCACTCCTAAATGAGTCCATTTAAATGATATCCACTCAGGTATCCCCCTTTAACTACACAGGTGTCTGTAAATCTAAGGCCCCGCTCACACATTGCCGTAAAAAAAGAGCACAACGCGGCAGGAACAAAGAAGGGATTTTATCAAAACTGGGGTCGACAAAATCTGGAGCAGCTGTGCACTGCAACCAATCAGCAACCTTTCATTTTCAAACCTTAACTGAACAAACTGAAGAGAGAAGCTGATTGGTTGTCATGGGCAACTGCTCCAGATTCTTATGCTCCAGTTTTGATAAACTTGATGTACGACCTACATGGAAAAACAAATGCGTGGAGCTGCGGCATGGGCTTCTTTGCTGTGTGTAGAGCAGCTCATTAAAATGCATGGAATGCCCTGCCCGGTCACACTGCAAGCTTGGCACAATGCACAGACACGTGACATACGTTCACAGGGTTTAAAGAAACTTCCACAGATTGGAACATGTGAAGCCAGATTAAAGTGTGTTTAAAGTGGAGCAAAAGGCTGCATGGTGGATAGGTTGGGCACTCGCCATAATATATGAACCTGAACCGCAAACTTGCATGTCGTGGTGCATTACCTGCGTCCGGGGCCGTGTGCACGTCCCTGTATGGAAGTAATGCACAATGGGATATGTAGTCTTGAGGCCTTGTTCATACTGCTCTGGAACGCACACGATTTCGGTGTGAACAAGCACTGAGAAATGGAGGTTGCATGGCATCAAGCAGCAGGGGAAGACACACAAAGCACACTGGGAATCCAGGAAGTTGGTGGAAGTGATGGGCAGACAGAAGGCAGCACTTACTACATAAAAGGGATTTTTTTTTAGAAAGCTTTGATTGCATTATCGGAAACAGCTCTAGCATGCAGTGGCGTCACATTGGAGGTGTGGGGGGTGCGGCCCGCACCCGGGAGACACCATTGCAGGGGTGACTGACAGTCATTTTGGTGTCACCCCGTCGAAAATAGTCGGGCACTCTGTCATGGACCGAGAGCCCGACAGTGTCAGGAGAGAGGAGGGCACCCGGCGACATACCTCATCCCGCTGGGTGAACGTCCCCTCCTCTCTATGCCGGCGTCCACCAGCAAAATGGCTGCCGACAGGCGTCAATCAGATGGCCGCACATGCTCAACGACATCATCGCACACGTGCGAGGTGACGTCACGCGCACACAATGACACCCGACCTTGGGACGCCCCTGCTAGTATGTATTCCTATTACAATGCTGATGTTATAACAGGAGAGGAGATGCTGGGACTTTACATCTCCATTAATATATATCAGTCTTAGGTCACAATGTTGTAACACAAGGATGAGGATTTTTGGTATTACCTTTTTAATGGCTCCGGGGCCCCCAGTTAAACACCACCAATGCATGCTGGTCCAACCGAAGTCAAGTATTGAAAACAGCCCAATATAGGCTGCAGGAAATTTGGATGATATCGCTGTAACGGTAACAGAATTGTGGTCATGACTTGTGCAGAGCTGGCTTGGGTAATCTATGACTGCAGTGGTTGTGAAATCCCAGTGCACTTTGTTAACAGAGGGAGGGGACGGAAGGATGTGCAAAGTCTGTAGAAAGAAAGAAAAAAAATCCATCTCATTGCTACACAAAGTGGGGAAATAATACTTATATTTATTAAATGACCTTGGTCATCATCGTCCATTGATAAAAACAAATATTTATTAGAGACTATTGTCATCAATGTCCATTGATAAAAACAAATATTTATTAGAGACTATTGTCATCATCGTCCATTGATAAAAACAAATATTTATTAGAGACTATTGTCATCATCGTCCATTGATAAAAACAAATATTTATTAGAGACTATTGTCATCATCGTCCATTGATAAAAACAAATATTTATTGGATGATCATCGTCCATTGATAAAAACAAATATTTATTGGATGACCATCGTCCATTGATGAAAATAATACTCTGAGCTTGATGAAAAGTCACCACGGCCCGGTTGTAATAGACGATGACTGTTTTCTATGCAAGGATAGATTTTGCATTCAATACTGCAAGCAGATTCAGAGTATAGCCTAATGAATACGGACTAAAAAAACACCGCTTGTAGATCTGTATGGCTTTTTTTTTTACTCCTCTGACCACAACTATATAATAGCCAATCAGGGGAATTCAGTATCGTATTTTTGCGCTAGAATTCCGGTGCTTATGCAGCCTAGGAAATATCTGCTCCAAATGATAAAACACGCTGCACTATTTTCTGGACCTTTCCCGACTCCTGTGCCAAATTCGATCAGTTCTTATTTGCACCATATTTCATATGCTTGCGACATATTCACAGACATCCCAACCTGCAAAAACTGATTTCAGGGAGGTGCCCTCTCCATCTGTGGGGGGGAGTAGGTAGTGATGGGGGGATGGGGGAAAGGGCACCTCCCTGAAATGATGACAGATAGCAGGGGAATCAGCAGATAGCAGATGAGCTAATGCTTCCCCTTCTATTTGTTGATAGATAGCATGGGAATGAATAGCTAGGCTGCTATTGGCCTTTTCAAATTGCAATAGCCAATACCAGGCTGGCTATTGCACTGCCCACTGCTTGCTGTTAATCAGCAGAGGAGTGGACCTGATGTCTCAGGTCCGCTCCCCTACTGACTCGTAAATGAGCCTGGTGTCAGGGAGCATGTAATTCCTGTGCGCATGCACATCACCAGTGGCCACCCAATGTGTGTGCACACTTCATGGAATGTACACAAATAATAAAATATCACTGGGGGAGAAAGGAAGAATCTTTTTTTAGCAGAAGAGACTTTGCATGTCTCTTCTGCCAAAAATCCTTTACCTGCCAGCAATTGTTTTTATTTTTTCCCTCTACTTTTGCTGTAATTACTACGTGTGCATTAGCCCTGAAACATTTGCTACATTTGCGCAATGCGTTTTGAGCATCATTACGGACCAACAGCAGTAAAATGTGATGGAGAATGCCTGAGTTCAATCTCCTTACAAAGGATCTTACCAATTCTAAAATGACTGGAAGGTGCAGATGGGTTTTCCCCCCAGCTTTCAGGTCAGTGCAATGCTGGAGCCATCTAGAGGATCTAATAGATTATTACACTCCTATGTGACAGCTGCTGGAACTAATATCAATACTGCTCACAATGAGGGAGGAAAAACCCCTTTATTTTAAAATTAAATTGAACAGATTAAATTGCACAACTGTGTTAGCACAACCAAACCTGCTCGAGTAGAGTGGACCTGAACTCAACACTGTTAAGATTTGCTATCTTCTAGTGAGTAAAACAAGGTATCCCCTGCACACCAGACAGCAATGGAGATCGTTGGTAATTTTTTGATGGTGCTCATAGTGACGTCCACGGATGGCGTGGTGCAAATCCAGAGTTTGAACAATGAAGATCACCAGCACACGAAGATAAAATAGTGACTATGTTTGCACTGATGAAGGAACCCTGCATTGTTCCGAAACATTGGCTCCTTAAAACACTTGTGACATGCTTCTTTGAATAAAGAACACTTGGATTTATCTCATCCTTTGTGTACTGGTGATCTTCATTGCTATCTTCTAGGACACATCTATAAATGTTAAAAGAGAAGTAAAGCCAACCCTTAATGTTGGCTATACTTTATTTTTGGGGTCACAGGAGTATATTTACTAATGTACTCCTGTGACCCAAAGTCAGTCGATAGTGGACTGGTGCCCTCTGTTGCCTGGTGGGCAGTGGCCTACCGGGGTTGAGAAGGATCCTGACAAAATTGTCAGGATCCACCCGACTGACTAAATGCCTCTCTCTGCATGTGACTGAGAGTCAAAGCCAGCTCCATTTCCCTCGTTCCCGACCTGTAGCTCCAGCCAGTGCTTTAGGAACAGAGAGGGAATGTGGTAACTCTATGGAGGGCAGCGTCTGACAGTGACTGGCCTCTGATGCAAGCACGGATGGACAGCTGACTGATTAGCAGTCACCTAATCGGTCAACTCTCAGTCTTAGAGCTGGTGTAGGACATCACAAGTCACTAAAGCATTGGAGTATAATATTCTATTCACCCTGAACTTCCTTAATTGTACCTAAGCAGTACTATAAAACATGTACCCCTTGCTGTGATCTGTCCTCAAAAAAAGCACTGCACTTCCGGTGCCTAGGATTTAGCTCTGTGATGGAGTACAATCTCAATACAAACTAGTAGTCCATCACTGGAGCCATTTTTAAATTTTTTTTTATTGTTTATCCGATTAACCGATTAATCGAACTTAATAATCGGCTAACTAATGGATTTTGAAAATAATCGTTAGCTGCAGCTCTACTACAATCTTATATTTAGTTTACTAATTTGTAATGAGATTGTAGTTCATCCCGGGAGTGAGCTTGGATCGGTGGCTACTCACACACAGGGGCCATTGGGAACAAAAGTAGTGACCCTCCAGAAGGAAGGACAGTGTCAGCACGAATTCAGAGGTGATTGGAGGATCTACAGCCGAGTGATACACAAATAAGAGACATTTTTGTTATTAGTTAATGTACTTGAATGTATTTCTAAGGTTCCTGAGTTTAGTGTCACTTTAAAATAAGATTGGACATCACTGATTTATTTATTTTATCCTAGCTGGAACTAAAATAACTGTTAGATAACTGTTGTTTAGGCAATCCCTTAAAACTCATCTCTTCAAGGAAGCCTATCCCACCTCAAACTAACCACTCAACCGTCACGTTCTAACACAATTCATTCCCACACAGCTACCTCCTCATATTTCCCTTGCCCCTCCCTTTTAGATTGTAAGCCCTCAGGGGCAGGGCCCTTCTCACCATCTTGTTTTGAATTGTATTGTGATTGTAATGTCTTCCTTATATTGTAAAGCGCTGCACAAACTGTTGGCGCTATATAAATCCTGTCTAATAATAATAATAATCACAATCTCTTCTTTCCTTTATCCAGTCTGACTCATTGGTTGTGTGCGATGTAGACCCCGAGCTGAAAGAGCGGCTGAGGAAATTCCGCTTCAGGAAGGAGACCAATAATGCTGCCATCTTGAGTGAGTGACCACGCACAGAGATAAAGGGCACTGGGACTTCATGTGGTGCCAAGTCCGAGTGGACACAAGTGAAGAATTTATACAGGGGCCCCCCTCAGTTTTTTCACCCCTCACACTCACCCTTCTCATTTGTTTCTTAGTGAAGATTGACAAGGACAAGCAGCTGGTGGTCCTGGATGAAGAGTTTGAGGTGGGTTGTCCATGTTAGGCTACACACGCACACATACTCATCCTCTTCTCTGTCTCTCCTCATTGTGAATTTGTCAATGAAAGGGTAAGGGATGGAAAGCAGAATAGGATAGTATGGAGGATGATAGGTTAGTATGCAAAAACACATTTGATGCTAATGCTGTGGCTGCCACAAATGAACATCGGAATAACACCAGGGAAAAGCGCAAGGTGCTACGTCTTTCTCTCACGTTTTTTTGATGATTGTTTATGGCGGGCTGATTGTTTGCAGCAAATACTTTTTTGCATGAGGAACTAAACAAAAGCGCTCTGTGGATTCCGGCGCTGTCCTTCTCTCATCCGATATGAAGATTATCACCATGAACACAATCTATGGCGTCTGAGGTGGACCTCACCTAGGACTTGCTATGCTATGTACTAGTGTATTTTTTGTGGCTGTGGATTTTGAGTTGTTATTTCAGTGTTTACTTTAAAGCAAGCCTGTACTTTTCCATGCAAATGTAAGAAACAGGTTTTCTTGAATCCTCCCCTTTTCCCAGCGTCACATACTCAGCTTCTCTTTCTTTGCTCCTCCAGTTGACCAAAGCAGAGAAGCTACCTGGTAAGTCCAAGCATGGAGGAGCATGTGACTTACTCCCCTTCCTTCCATGTCCGTGTTTGTTGGAAACACTGCATGGCTTTTCTCACATCATCACTCCTGTTGGACCTGACTCCTCCACTGATGTATTTCACACTCACTCAGTGCTTGAAGTGGACGTTATGCTACCGATTGGCAAGCTTTCTATAACAGAATAGACTGGAAATGTTTATTTACATATACAGGCTTGCCTAGATGAAGTAACTCTCATGTGCATGCATGGGAGCTACATTATCAGGGCCTGGCCAATCAACTGGCCACAAACTCCCAAGCCTGGAAAAAGACTGGGCCGAAGATGGTAGCACCGGTGAGGGAGGATTGCAGCACTGGAGGTGATCGCTTTGGCAGGTAAGTCTGCCATAATGTGATAATATCCTGTGCATACTAACACATTATGGCTAAAAGCTCCAGGGGGCCAGTTTTGTTTTCCAAAATACTTTATTTCATCTTTAAAAGCTTAGTTCACATTTGTAATACAATGCACTATGCAGTAAAGGGGTCCAATTATTGTAAAAGTACTGTATTGCTTTAAATTGGAAGTTTACTTTAAATGCCAGGTGACCTAATCTACTTTCTGCTCTGTTACATGTGATTTTATTTTGTGGCAACACCTGCCCAACATTTGAGGGATGAGAACCCCCATCCATTATTTAAATCTCAGAAACCAACATTCTTTGAATTATTTATTAATCCTTCTTCTGCCTCATTGAGATTTGCATTCACTTCTACCTGGGCCAATGCATGTATATTTTACCTCTAGCTGGTCAACTGTATCACGAATGATAGGCTTTGATAACAAGGTTTGACATGATTGGGTATTTACATGTTTGCACATGATTGGGTATCCCAAGTGAACACACATTTTTTTACTTTAGTAAATCAATCCCTCAGAATCATTGGTCTAGGAAAAGAAATAATGTGCAGTAGCCAATCACTGATCTCATCGATCTAAAATTTGTATTTCTTTTTCAGGATATTTCCCCCGATGACCTACAGAATGAGCTACCAGAACGTCAACCCAGATATCCTTATCAGACATGTAACCCATAGTAGTGTAAATGACTTAGTAGCTCCTCAAGGGTAGGGATCAGCAAATCCCTTTGTGCTAATCAAATTTCAAGAATGCATCTAATCCAATCCTCCTTAGGTGGAGCTCTTTGGGATGCAGCAATTTGCTCACATGACCTGGTAATATGGTCTAAAGCAGTGGTTCTCAACCTGTGTAACCTCGGGACCCACATTTGTCCTTGGTCATTAAGTCGCAACCCATGTTGCACTGCCATGGAACGCATTGCATGTGGTACCCCACGTTGCGATGCGGGCGATAGAACTGTGGGTGGGAGATGCATTTGGGATGCCATTCAAATGAATGGCTACGTAACGCACCTCCCACACCAGAACGGAGGTAGGTGCGATTGCGTGGTACAGTGCATTAACTGCACAGGACTGTGCGATTAAGGCACTGTACTAGTGTGAATAGGCCCTCAAAAACACTGCCAGACACACACACAGACATTTTCACACACACATGCACACTCCAGATCCGCCCAGTCTCCCTACCTTACCAGAACTGGAGTGGATCCTCAGTTTGGGGTCCAGTGTGGGCTACTGTGCTGTGACGGAGTTCCATCCATCTGTGCATTGCTTGTACAGCTCCCTTGTGAGCCCTACAGATGTGCCGAGAGCCAGAATGCGACGTCACTCCAGTCCAGGCACCTCTACAGGACACGTGAGGGAGCTGTAAGCAATGCACGTATGGATGGAGCTCAGTCACAGCCATAACCCCAGCCCACCCCAGCTCAAGCTGACACTCGGCACCAGGCAGCATATTTTGAATGGATGCTCGGCACAAGAACTGACAGTGCTGGGCTAAGGGGAAGCTGATGAGCCTCTCTCCTAGAAGAGTTGAAGGCATGTGGCGACCCACTAAACATGGGGTTACGACCCACTTTTGTGTCTCAACCCACCAGTTGAGAACCAAGGGTCTAAAGGACCACCTACAAGTTCTCTCCTGGCTTGCAGAGTGGCAGTGCACCCCCGAAAAATAAAAGGAAGTACATCACCTTGTGTGGCATCATTACTGCTCTAATATAGATGTACTATACGTCTTTAGAGCTATGTCACAGCAGCAACTTTGTAGCCTCTGAACACTGTCTAAGATGGCAACCATTTCTGGGAGACAATATCAGCCTTATGATCCATTTCCATTAACAATATTGGCAAAAAGCCCCATTTGTACCAGCCAGACCATTAAATTACTGGCCATGGGGTAACCCTAGCATCGTCACGTGGGGTGAAGTTATATGCTCCACCATTCGCGGAGGCACGGGGTATTTTCACAGGCTGAAGCAGCGGATGTAGCATTGGGGGAAGCAAAGAAGAGTATCAGGGGGGACTTTACACAGATACTATCACTTTGGCCTGAATGGTAAAAGAGACAGTGGGGGGAATTTATCAAGACTGAAGCAAACAAAATTTGGAGCAGTTGTGCATGGCAACCAATCAGCTTCTCTCTTCAGTTTGTTCAGTTAAGATTTGAAAATGAAAGAGAGAAGCTGTTTGGTTGCAGTTTTGATACATTCCCCCTTATGTCTTTTTGAAGGATAATTATAATTTCAGCCACAGCACCCTTATCCTTTCAGTGCACCCACCTGACCTAAAGATACCTACCTCTGTTCCACAGCCGTGGCTCTCCATAGTGTTGCCAGCCTACAGCAGCCTTTCTCAACCTTTCTACCCCTAAAGGAACACTTGAAATATTTTTCAGGTCTCTGGGAAATTTCTGCTAAAAAGGATTATACCTTCAACTTACAGTTCACCAGTGTGATCAGTAAGTCGTAGAACATTAAATTACAAACAAAATAGTAATGTGGTGTACCTATTATATTTGACACCCAAGACTGATAATTTTTTTAATTACCCCACAAATTAAACAACAAAATAATATTCAATAATAATCTTGAAATAAAAAGAAAGAAAGAGGTAATAACAGATAAAAATGTTGACAGTAACATTTGTGGTGTCGCCTCACATTCATGGTCAGTGTGGAAATGACCCCTTACTTTGGTGGTCATTGGAAATGGGAAGATAATTTGCCATTGCTCACTGCTCACAGAAGCCCTAGCAAATCCGGCCCTAGGGATAGGGACCCTGAATTAAAGTATATTGTGTTTGTTGACTTCCTTAACCAGAGGGCACATTTCTGGCATACAGTTACCAGTACAAGCATGATGATGGACGCGTCTCATACCCCCTGTGTATGATCTTCTCCAGCCCAGTCGGTGAGTGTCCACATCTGGGCAGTGGTGGGACATACAGACTACCTGTATACTATGTGCTGTATAAGACCAGAATTGAGCATACTCAGGTCCCATTATGCTGCAGATATAAATAGAAATATGTAGTTACTGGTTGCAGATATATAGTTTTATTTAAAGGAGAACTATGAGGTGAGTGCTTTTCACTCACCTCATAGTTCTAGCCGACCTGTGACAATGAGACTGTCACAGGTCGGCTCAGTAGATCGGGAGGTGAGCAAACACATACCGGCGTTCGCTCACCTCTCGATCCTGTCACGGCTCTCTGCCGTGACAGGGGAGGGGCTGGATTCCCCCCGCTCCGCCAGTGCTGACTGGCGGATCGGACGGGGGAGGGAGCGGGTACAGCTGGCTCTGCCTCTAGATAGGCAGAGCCAGCTGTCACTCAAGCAGCTGGGCGGATCTCGACATCGATGTCGGGATCCGCTCCGGCTGCGGCGTCTCAGTATACCGCGAGCTGTAGCTTGCGGTATACTGAGCTTAGTTACCCTAAGTGTACGGTCAATCTAAAACAAAAAAAGCATGGAAAGCGCTCCACTGTAGTATGGTCAACTATCTTGGTCGTTGGTATATTGGGGGATGGTGTGCATAAACTCCTCAACAAACCGGGAGAGGAACCCGGTAATTCACATTCACAAACACAGTATAAGGAAGAGTGCAACAACCTGAGTAGATACTTATTGGGTATAACATAACAGTTGATCAGTGGATAAATGCTGCCCGGTCTGCTGTGACTGGCTGGGTTACTCTTCCTTATACTGTGTTTGTGAATGTTAGTTACCCTAAGGAGAACTATGGGGAAAAGCCCTGACCCCATAGTTCTCCTTTAACGATGAATAAAAAAAAATGTGCATGTCTGAACATCCTTTAAAAATATAAATAGACAGCAGAACAGAACAATACCGTGTTTCCCCGAAAATAAGACACTGTCTTATATTTTTTTTGGCTCAAGAAAACACACTAGGTCCTATTTTCGGGGTAGGTCTTTTTTTTTTTTTTAATGTACAACAATCCACACTTATTCATGTACAACAGTCTACATGTATTCATGTACAAAAATATGGTGATCAGGGCAATCAAGGGTGCCGTACCTTCGGAAGAGCAATTTGCTAACCAATCTCTGGGCAGAATGAGCGAACCCCACTTTCACTATTGATTCCTTACAGGCGGAGTGCATTTGGCACCACTCCGCCTGTGACAGGAGCGGGTGCTATAGAGGAGGCATCAGCTTTTGCGGCTTTGTGCCGCCTTGCTTCCTCTAGTGCTGGCTCCGTGGGCACCGCTGATACTCTCCTGCCTCTCCAGTTCCCCCTTATGCCACCACCGGCACTGGGAATGGTCATAACTAGGTCTTATTTTCGGGTAGGTTTTATATTTTAGCAATTCCCAAAAATAGTACTTGGTCTTATTTTCGGGGTAGGTCTTATTTTCGGGGAAACAGGGTAGAAGGCACTTGCACTGCAGGGGAAGGAGGATTTTGACTTAGGACCCCTTTATCCTGGTGGCAGGTTGCCAGAGACATAAGGCTAGGGTTAGCCCCCTAGTTGCCACTTTTGACCCTAAGGGACGTATTTATTAATAATTTGCAGGCCCATTTGTCCTGCAAAACTACTATGTTTGTGTTTGTGTGCGAATGGAGGCAAAAATGAACGTTATTAGTAAGCTTTCTTTCTAGTAACATCAGGAAAATACCACATTATGGCCATTAGGTGGAGCAGAGGAGCATATGAAATAAGTATTTATTGCCTATGTTTCTTAGCTCCATCCAGTGACCATAATGTGGCATTTTCATGATGTTACATTCGACTTGGAAAGAAAATATACTAATTACATTTGTTTTGGCCTCCAATCTCTCAAAACAAACGTACATGCGGTTTTGCAAGACGATTGGCTATGCAAAAGTTTTATAAATACAACCCTAAGTCATACGTTTTTGTTATGTTGTTTGAGGTCACACTAGGGAGCTTTCCCATACCTTTTGTCACAAAAAGACAGAGAAAATGATGTAAAGGTAAGGAAAAAGGGACACAATGGTCATAAAAACACTCCTTTAGCTGTATGGGAATGCTAGAATATCTCTCAGTTTCACTTCCTGTTTCAGTAATGACTGGGAGGTAAAATCAACCAACATGACCCACCACAGGCAGCAATGAAAACATGACACAGGATTTAACACTTCCCAATTCTGCCCACAAACTAACACAAAATGTGACGGTTTAACTGCGTTTTTAATTGTTTATTGACTTGAAACCAATAAACGTTTCTTCTGAAAGCTGATTGAAAGCAAAAAAATGTCAAGTTCACTATAAGTAATTGTAGCTGACCACAGTGTGAATTATTTCAAATATTTCAGTGATTTGATGTTGGGGAAGTACAATCTGGTTGGTTGCTTTGGGTTGCCATTGAGTTTTATCCGTTGCACTATTACTGAATAAGACCCTTCCCCTATTCCCATATATTCAACAGTCTATTTTCCTTGTGAGCAGGTTGTAAGCCTGAGCAGCAGATGATGTACGCGGGTAGTAAGAACAGACTGGTACAAATCGCTGAGCTTACTAAGGTAAACAAACAACAGATCTCATTTATATTTATTTTATTATATGTTTTCTTTTTTTATGTTATCAGGACAAAATAAATACAACAAAATATTAAAAAAATATTTTTCTCTATAGTTAAATGTAAAATGATTGCAGAATCATTATTTGTATTTCCTAATGCAGACAGCAGGTGGCGCTCTCAGCTCCTTGACCCATTTTCCAGGCTTTCCATATCAACTTTGCCTTCCTTTCATACCACATTTCACCTGACTTGTGGGGTTTTTCTCCCTGCAGCATTCTGTATTTTTTTTTAAATTCGGCACATTTGTGTGTGGCTTTGCCCGCACAGCCGCATAATGCATTCACAGATCCATTCACAGGTTCTGCGAATGGAGAAACTGCGAGTCCCATATCCCACCATGCCAAAGGGACTCATGGTTCTCAATGGAGCACAAGTTAGGGGACTTCAGTCCATTTATTATTTTAACTATCATTATAACTGCAGTTATAATGCTTTTTTTTTTGCAATGTGGATTCATTTATTCATTTTTGATTTACAAAAGTGGAATATGCTCTAAAATGCCTGTTGTTCACAGGGTTTAGTAGCTCAAGGTGAAATATACATACAGGGTTATTCACAAAAGGGTGAAGAGTTTGTAGAAGGCAGGAGAAGTGAACAATCTAGGACAAAATAGCTGAACTGGAAACATTCTCCAATTCAGCTCACTTTCCAGTTCAGCTATGTTGTCCTAGATTGTTCACTTCTCCTCCCATCTCCAAACACTTCACCTTTTTGAGAATAGCCCTGATAGTTCCCACACAATCACATACACACATACACACATAGGTTGAACTGGATGGACCCTTATCTTTATTCAACCTCACCTACTATGTTACCCAAGTGAATGAGTCAGAGCTGTGACTACTTCCTCATTCTACACCTCCCTATAAAGTTGTAGTGACTCATCAATGGATGGCACCATTTTTGTTTATATCTATTGCATCACAAATGTCACCAGAACTCCAAAAAATTATGATCTTTAATTTGTCACTATGAATGGGACCTATTGATGGATCTGAAGTGCTGCTTGTCTTTTTGGAACAAATGGAAGCTCATAATGAGTGTGCTGGTGACTTCTAGCTTGCCGGTAGCACTTGTGAGACATCAGATTAATTTAAAGACCCACCCCAGACCTGTCAAACCGTGCCCAAGCTGACCATATTTGGGCAAGCCACGCCCACTTTACTATGCCTCTCCCACTTTACAGATGTTAAAATGACATCCTTTTGTCAAGTAGGAGGTATATCTTTAGGGTTTTGAGGGTAATGACCTTTGACATTGGGTATTGTGACTGCATATGTCATAAAAAATAAACATGCTCCTTATTTCAGACACTTTAACATACAGAATGCTCTTTCTGCGCTGATTGCAGGTATTTGAAATCAGAAACACCAGCGACCTTACGGAGGAATGGCTGAAGGAACGCCTGGCTTTTTTCCGTTGAAGTGGACCGATCTTGATGCATTTGCTAGAGACGAGCAACTTCCCAAAATCAGTCTCACCAACAATTCGCCCTTGCAGTCTGGGCAATGATGTGAATAACCCTGATTTGAGAATCTTCCCAGTATGAGTGTTAATTGGTTAAAAAAAATCCTGTAATGAGAGAAATATGGGGGATGCCAATGCTGAGCTCACCTTCTGAAAGTGTTAGCTGCCTGGAACATGACCTGGAACATGGATGTAGATAACATCCATGACTTTTCCCTGCCTCTCCTGCTCTGAATACTTTTTCCTGGTCATTGACTGATATATTGAAGTCACCAGGTCAGGATAACAGCAGTCCAATTAGCATTTCCAGGAGAGGGTCGGCAATGGCGAGGCCCGTATTTCTCTCATGACAGGTCTTCTTTAAAATCTTTTGTCTTTCCCTCTTTGGGGAGCAGAGAACATATGATCCCTGTTGATTTCTAACATTCCTCAGCCCTTTCTGAACCCGATCATGCATGTAAAAAGATCTTCAGATGAAAATATGGAATCGGAATGGGCATTTTTGCTAAGGACAATGCTACATTTTGATTGACATTATATGTGAAATATAATGTCAGAAATGCATTTTTTGAGGAATGAAGGTCAAAAGATGTACAGTATGTGTGGTTAGAATAGCTTTCTTACGTCAGTGTAAAACATTTGGAGGAAAAAACAAGTTTTGTATTTTTTTATTGGTCAAATAAACATCATACAAGAAAAGTGCATCAGAACTAATCCCTTCCTGAGAAAGTCTTTGTATGGTGGATTCTTTAGTGTCCGTGGCTGTGCTGGACCACACACGACAAACAGCAAACTAGCCCGGCATCTCCTAACTGTTCCTACATCTGCCAAGTTCTATTCTTAACTCCAGGAATGATCTTTTGGTCCAGCTTAGCTCAATGCATGTGTCCAAATTTGATCTCTGGAGGAATGCTGGGGATGCTAAAAATCTCTTTATTGGTTTGCGCTAAATACTGTTGCTGCAAATCCAGGGGATTCCCCTCTGCTCATTGAGCATGGTGAGTCTGTTACTGGGTACTGCCAACATTAAGAGAAAGCCTTGCATTTTCTTCAATGAATACAAGGTGCTCTCTACTCGGATGAGGTGAAGATCATGAAGTCATCTGCCCCTCCTCATCCAATCAGAGAATGCCTTGCATTCAATGAAAAAAAATACAAAGCATTCTCTGAATGACGGCAATGACCAGCGAGTGACTCCCTGTAGTGTGTAGTGTTCCCTCAGATGGAAGAGACCAGCTACATGTAGTGCTAAATAATACAGAGATTTTTAGCATCGCTAGCAGCCTTCCAGAGATCAGATATGGATGCTTACATTGAGGGTGCAGTCACACCATAACCAGTGTGCGTCCCGGTGCATTTCGCTCCGGGACAAACTGGATATGGTGTGACTGGGCCCTAAGCCAAGCAAGACCAATGTAAGTATCCATAAAAGATAATATCTTTAACTCTGTGTGTAACAGAGCCAAATAGAGCACCAAAACATCAAAGCCTTTTATTAATTCCACAAGAAGGCATCAGACAGCCAATGCTCTTTAGGGGCCAGAAAATCCCACAAGGGCTAAAGAAAAAACAATAAAAAAAGAAATATAACAATGAGAAGGATCAATAGGCAAAAAAAAAGGCAAAACACAATAGTAACAGTCACCCAGAAGTTGCATATCAGTGAAAGTGGTAAAATAACAAGTAAAAGTAGCAAGAACTAAGCTTAACCTTAAATATATTTCAAATAACCAAAACCTAGTTCTAAAATAAAAGGTACCACGCCAATAAAGGCAAATGAAATGAAGAAAACTGATGAAAACATGACTATCTGGCACACAAAGGATACTGGACCTATATATGAACATATTGTAAATTTATATAAATAGCTGGAATGGTAAAAGTCAAAAGTGGATAAGTATTTATTTCCTAAGCTCCTCAGCTCCATCTAGTGGCCATAAAGTGATATTACAAGACAACATTTGAAAATACATTCGACTTATAAAGAAAATATACAAGAAAGTTCATTTTGTGCATCCATTCACACAGAATGTACATTCACAATGATTCACAAGCCAATGGCTCTGCAAATTGCTTATAAACAGACCCCATAGTAAAACGTTTAAAAAATGTTATTGAAAAGGTGGTTATAAAAAATATATTTGTCCACCAATTAGAAACCTACTATAACACTTGGGTAAATGTGGGGTTATTCAGAGCTACCCTAGGGGACCCCTTATTACTCATAAGCGTCCATTTATAAAAACAATTGCATAGCTAATTTATCCAGCTAAACTGCATGCAAATTCAGTTGTGAGAATGGGTCAAAAATATTGTTAGCGTAATTTCTCTTCTAGTCAAATGTTCTTCAATAAGTATATTCACAGATAACAGAGTGAATAGGGAAAATACTGCATCATGGTCACTAGATGGAGCTGATGATCACAGGAAATAGATACATATTAGTAACCAAATACAAAGCATTTGTTTCCTATGATCCTCAGCTCCATCTAGTGGCCATAATGCAGTATTTTCTCCATTGAAGAACATTGCCAAATGCAAGTGGGGAAAAGGATGTACCCTATATTGCCAAAAGTATTGGGACGCGGCCTTTACACGCACATGAACTTTAATGGCATCCCAGTCTTAGTCCGTAGGGTTCAATATTGAGTTGGCCCTTTGCAGCTTTAACAGCTTCAACTCTTCTAGGAAGGCGTCCACAAGGTTTAGGAGTGTGTCTATGGGAATGTTGAACCATTTGTGAGGTCAGGTACTGATGTTGGACGAAAAGGCCCGACTCGCAGTCTCCCCTCGAATTCATCCCAAAGGTGTTCTATCGGGTTGAGGTCAGGACTCTGTGCAGACCAGTCAAGTTCCCCCACCCCAAACTCGCTCATCCATGTCTTTATGGACCTTGCTTTGTGCACTGGTGCGCAGTCATGTTGGAACAGGAAGGGGCCATCCCCAAACTGTTCCCACAAAGTTGGGAGCATGAAATTGTCCAAATGTCTTGGTACGCTGATGTCTTAAGAGTTCCCTTCACTGGAACTAAGGGCCAAGCCAAACCCCTGAAAAACAACCCCACACCATAATCCCCCCTCCACCAAACTTTACACTTGGCACAATGCAGTCAGGCAAGTACCGTTCTCCTGGCAAACGACAAGCCCAGACACGTCCATCGGATTGCCAGACAGAGAAGCGTGATTGGTCATTCCAGAAAACACGTCTCCACTTCTCTAGAGTCCAGTGGCGGCGTGCTTTACACCACTGCATCCAACGGTTTTCATTGCACTTGGTGATGTAAGGCTTGCATGCAGCTGCTCGGCCATGGAAACCCATTCCATGAATCTCTGTACGCACTGTTGTTGTGCCAATCTGAAGGCCACATGAAGTTTGGAGGTCTGTAGCTATTGACTGCAGACAGTTGGCGACTTCTGCTCAGTGTGTGCTTCAGCATGCGCTGACTCCGCTCTGTCATTTTATGTGGCCTACCACTTCATGGCTGAGTTGCTGTTGTTCCCAGTTGCTTCCACTTTGTTATAATACCACTAACAGGTGACCGTGGAATATTTAGTAGCCAGGGAATTTCACGGATGGACTTATTGCACAGGTGGCAAACTATCACGGTATAACACTGGAATTCACTGAGCTCCTGAGAGCGACCCATTCTTTCACAAATGTTTGTAGAAGCGTCTGCATGTCTAAGTGCTTGATTTTATACCCCTGTGGCCATGGAGGTGATTGGAACACCTGAATCCAATGATTTGGAGGGGTGTCCCAATACTTTGACAATATAGTGTATCTTTCAATGGCCGGGCAAAGTTTCTCTTTAAAGTACCTGCAGGGTCACTTTAAGTTTGAAGCAAGTGAAGCAACTAAGAAACAATTGAAAATATACCGCATTGGACTTAGTCTGTTGCCTGTGTATGTGAGCTCTAGGTAATAAAGCAATGGAAGGTACAGAATGCATATCAAAATCTAAAATTGGCATTAAAAAATTATTTCATGGCAAACATTACAGTGATTTCTCAAAATATGTCTACCCTAAAAATTTGCCATAGTTTTCCTTTACAATAACAACTCTGCTAACTATAACCGTGTAAACTCTGCCGCACAAATCTTTTCTTTTGATACATCTTTAACTCAAGATTCTAAACGAGGTCTTCTTTGTTGTCTAGCCTCAGATTGCAGAGAGAACATGTTGTTCTCTGCTCATAAAAAATAGATTGAGTATCTGGCTTTTTGTAGCTCTTTAATACTATAATGTAAACCTGTCAGTAGCTAGTGATGCTATAAGAATATATGTATGCATATAAGAACATTTTACACCACAATGTTAAAGACGATGCCTACCAACTCTAAAAGCACAGCGACGTGCATTGCATTCTAAGTTTTGCCCTGAGAACAATGGCCAGAGAAAACTCTGCATACAGCTATAACAAGGGGAAGGCAGCTGAAGCAGCTGTTTGGGGCACAGAGAAGCAGTGGGGCACAGTACTACACTGAATAAAAAACTTAAAGGGAAAATATAATAGTTCTTGAACAATTTAATTATATATCTATATAGATATATATAGATATATATATCTATAT